TTAAGGCCGAGCTTTTGAATTGAAGCCTTAGGCCTTTTCATTAAACGAGCTTTTATATAAGTCCAAGCCTGGTGCTAACAACCAATTTTAGACATGTAAGCTCAGGCTTTCACGAGCCAAACCAAAGATCTCTGAAAGACCCCTGATTTGTTTAGCACCCCTAATTGTGGGTGATATGCTGTGCTAAAATACAAATTAGTGCCACTACATCATACAAATTCTGACAAAAAAGAACTAAGAAATACTCTTTCCTTATCACTCACAATCACAATTGAGGATGGAAAGCCCTATTATCAGATTAAGGCTTTAATTTTTTTTTAATTATGCTATTTGAAAAGATTGAACACGTGCTCTCGTCTTTATTTACTTGGCTCACATGCATCAATTAAACTACTATAGTATCTTTTAATGGCATCTTAAGTCATTTTTCTCATTCTTTTTATTATTGAAGCCTGTTTATGATAATTATTCCGTTCTTTTGGATAGAATTTTTTTTTTATTTCTGTGTTTTACGAAAAGTGTTTAGGAAAATATTATATTTGATAATATAATTTATTTTTATTCCCATGAAAGATAATATATATTTAAAAATAGTATCTCGGAAAAAATTATTTTTTATTTTTATCAATTTATATTTTTGAACTATCAATTTATTCTCTCGAAGAAAAGAATAGATCAATTTTATTAAATATTATTTCTAATTAATTTCGAATCAAAAATTTAAAAAGAAAGAAATTTTTTTATTGAACATTGTCATTAATACCCTAAACCTACACAATTATTAAAAAAAATATTGCAGTGTTTTTCCCAATTTAATGTAACTAATCGTGATTATTTATGAAAAATACAAATATAATGATAACTGCGAAGAGTAACGTGAATTCTACAAATTATTTGATGTTAAATAAATAAAAGGCATTCTACTAAAAAAATAAAATGGAAAATTTTTCAAATTTCAAATTTTATTTTTTAAGGGTTATTAACTCTATTCAAGTTAAAAATAAACTGCAAAAGATTGTATTGGTTTTTTCTTGCTTACTTTTATTTTTACTTTTATTCTATTTTTTTATTTTTCATTCTATTATATTTTTAAATTTTAAAGGAAATTTCTCATTAGTTTTTGAGTAAATACTCTTTTGGATTCCTAAGAAAAAACACAGTCCCCACTTTATTTCCTTATAAAAATAAATTAGTCATCCGGTCCCTATGAAATTTAAAATGGACCCATTTTAGTCCTTTTGACTTTGAGGGACTAAGGTGGGTTTTTTTTTGAATTTGTGAGGAACCACGATTACAACTAAATGGATCTATTTTAAATTTCTTAGAAACCTCGAGACTAATTTATTTTTGTAAGTGACTAAAATGGGGATCATATTTATTTTTTCAGGAACCCAAAAAAATATTTACTCTTCATTTTCTTACGCCATCCTGTCCCGAGAGGAAAAATTATTGTACCGATTGTAAAGCAGGAGAAACCAATGCACTCTATTCTGAGTCAATGTGTTACAAGTGTTAACGGGCCCAGTCGAGCCGAGCTTTGGACTTAAAAGGCTAAGACTGTGTTTAAATATATCAGCCTGACCAAGCCTGTTACATGTTCTGAATATAATTATCGGCATGTGGCCTGACTTATTTTCAAAAAAATAAATGTCTAGTTTAGCCTATTAGCCTGTTAAAAAAAAATAAGACAACAAAAATTTATTAAAAAAAAATATCTCTGGTTTAGCCTAGTGGTATGAGGTGTGTGTTAGGTGTTTGTAGTGCTATAAAGCAATTTATCTCTGGTTTAGCCTAGCTCTGCTATAGAATATCCCACTTTATTCTTTTGGGAATTTATCAACACGCAAATGTAAAAAGGTATCTGGATAAAAAAAATAATTAATTCCAATATTTAAGTCATTTCAAAATTTTAATGTAAAATTATTAAAAATTTTATGTCACATATTATTATTAGGTAAGTTGCGCGACTAAGCAATTCATCGTGCATATGTTATTATCAGACGAGTCGTATTCGAGATGGAGCGCGACTAATTACTATATATTTGTAAATAGATTCTAAACTGTCAATTTTTTTTCTTCGTATTTTCTTATTTAATTTGTAATATTTAAATTCTTTGCCCGCAAATCAGTATTAAAACATAGTAAATAATAAAAGGCACAGGCTAATGTAAATAAGAAAGGCATCTAATTATAAAACACTAGTGAATTACCCATGCCGATGCACGGAAAAAAAATTGGTTTGTTTGGTGTGGTGGGCCGGCCCTTCGGGTCGAGCTCATTTTGTCATTTTTAACTATTAACATTTTATATCAGTATGTAATAGAAATAAATATTATGAATAATATTTTTTGTTAAAATATAAGAGCATGATGTAGGAATAAACAAAAAAGATATATCTTTCTTCAGTCTCAAATTAAATAACGATGCTGAGCTGCACTATAAAACATATTGACATATGCAGGTAACAAAACATGCATTATTAACACGATGATGCTAAAATAAAAAAAAATTAATAAAGACTTAATTAAAATTCAAAATATCTAAGTGATTTGCAACTTAATATAATGTATTTCTAATAAAAAAAATTCAAACGTTGTGCTTGACATCAAGCTACTAAGAAAGATGCGTAACAGTTTACCGAAAAAAGAAGAAGAAAGATGCGTAACTTATACTTGCAAAAGTGATAAAACTCATTCCACGATTCACTCTTGATGCTTCCTCCTATTAGAAATGAATGATAAATATTCTATAAACAATAGTGTGGAAAAAGAAACATGACTTTGAGAGTAAAAAATAATTAATTATTATAGAAATACATGCATTTCATGATTAAGGGTACTATCTGTAACACGACCATTGTCATCAAGTATCCATATCATCAATCACGCAAAATTAAAATAGAAAGCAACAATCAACAAAGTTAAAATACAGAATAGAATAGGGTTGTCTACCAAAAAAAAAAAATATAGAATAGGGAAGGGATTTGCAACCTAATATTATATGTCTGTAATAGAGTCCAAGCATAATAAACATAAACATGCAGCATGTGATCAAAAAATATCTAAATGTTGTGCTTGACATGATGGTAAATTAAAAGATGCCGAACCTATACTTTGAAAAGTTATAAAACTCATTCCGTGATGCACTCGTGATGCTTCCCCATCTTTGAAATGAATCATAAATAATCTATGAATGAAGAATATCAAAAAAGAAACATGAATTTGTGAGTACAAATCAAAATTGGTATAACAATACAACAATTTATTGTGCATGAAATAATCTAAATGTTTGTGCAAAAATAGTAGCTAACAACGTACTTATTGTGCATGAAATACTAATCCTGCTCGGTCATAACAAATTAGCAGTGATGAATTGATATTGATGCATGACAATAAAAAAATAGCAGTTAAAAAATACCGAACGCCGAACCAAATGGCAACAAAGATAAGTAAAAGAGACTTGCATAATTTTGTTGTCTTTACCTGTACCAAACAACGATGTTATCTCTTTGAAGACAGAACCATATATACTACAGTAGTCTTTGAACTTCCTCGTAAACTATATTAAGGGTGCTATTTGTAACGCAACCATCTTCATCAAGTATCAATATCTTGATGGATTTCAAGGGTGTTATTTGAAAACAACAAATGTTCAAATAAAAAATCAAGGTTAATAATCAGAATTATTATTCAAGGTTAATAAAAAATCAAATTTTAAACTGTTCAAATAAGGAACAAATGTTTAAATCAAAATTATTATTTTTATACATTTAAACCGTAGCTTGGGTTCTTATGAGTAATTAGAAAATATTTTTATTATTCAAAAAATGAATTTTTTTGAATTACAATGAATCAAAGTTAAAAAAAATACAAAATTTAAATTTTAAAAATAAGTACGTAATTTGTAGGTTGGGATTTTGTTGATTAGTACGAATTTTTTTTTTCTGGAAAACAAAAGTAAATTTTTGAAATCCACTGAAAATGTTTGTTGAAAATGTAGAGAAGGAATAGGGTTTAGGGAATATCAAAAAGGGTGTTAGTAAAAATTTAAATTTTAAATTTTATAAATTCAGAACCGAAAGTTTGAATTCCACTTTTTTCTTTTATTAGATTTAAATTTAAATTGTAGGTTTGGATGGTTTTAGTAATTATAACTTATAAATGCGATTTTTATGGAAAAAATATGAAATTTAATGAATTCCACTCAATCAAGGTTAATAAAATTTCAAATTTTAAACTGCTCAAATAAGGAACAAATTTTTCAATCAAATTTTTTTTTATACATTTAAACCGTAGCTTGGGTTCTTTCTAGTAATTAGAAAAAATTTCTATAATTCAAAAAACGTAAATTCTTGAATTACACTGAATCAAGGTTAAAAAAATGCAAACTTTAAATTTTAAAAATAAGTACGTAATTTGTAGGTTGAGATTTTGTTGATTAGTACGATTTTTTTTATGGAAAACAAAAGTAAATTTTTGAAATCCACTTAAAATGTTGTTGAAAATGTAGAGAAGGAAAAAGGGTTTAGGGAATATCAAAAATGGTGTTAGTAAAAATTCAAATTTTAAATTTTTTAAATTCATAACCGAAAGTTTTAATTCCATTTTTTTATTTTGCTAGATTTAAATTTAAATTGCAGGTTTGGATGTTTTTAGTAGTTATAAATGCGATTTTTATGGGGAAAAAATAGAAATTTGTTGAATTTCATTGAATCAAGGTTAATAAAAATCCAGATTTTGATGCCATAGATAAATAATATAGGATTTAACTGCAAAAAACAACGCTGACGAATATATCAATAAACATCACATAACATTATGATTTCGTTGAACTCAACATTTAGAATATTTCATAAATGTCAATTTAAAAAAAAAATGACGTCAACATTTAAAAAACGCAACTCCAAAGAAAAAATGTCAATTCAACATTTTGTTGTAATAAACATCCTGTCCCAAGACACAAAATAACACAATTATTCTCATCTGCTTCAGTAGCTCAATCTAGGGGTTGTTCTCATCTGCTTCATCATCAAATCTATTTAAAAAAAATAAAGGAAAAAAAAATCAATTATCAGTGTTTTCACCATGCGTAAGCAAATGACATGGGTTGCATATTATATTAATAAAAGGAAAAATATATATATGTCACTGAAATAAAAATAAAAATATCAATTATAAAATACGTAACTCTTTTTCAAGCTTTATTTTCTTCGCCATCCGAATAGCTGAAAATTTAAATTCTCCAGCAATGGAATCATGAGAATTGATCACAGGTGTCAACATCGTCAGAGAGATATCACCAACGTCAGCACTATCACAGGTCTGACTCTCAACATCCTTTTTTTCATATAAAAAAAGGTATGTCAAGTACTTACGTTTTTTTTTTCATAACATGAATCTAAATACAAATAATGGGTTACCGCAGCCTTTTCTGGTTCCGACGTTACAACTTTATTTTCGCGTGCATTATCAAAAATTGTTTCATCCTGTGATATACAACAATCAACAAAATGAATAAGAACAATGGATATCCAACAGAAATATATAAGCAGCATACACTTGGATCTATAAGAGACTTAATGAACGCTGAGATTATGTCTTCACTGATACAAATTTTAGAAACTTGATATTTGGGCTCACTGTATGAGTTTAAATCCTTTTGCTTCACATTTATCTTGAACAACATTGACTTCTCATTTAGAATATTTAACTCTTCTGGAAACTGATCCAAATCCGCACCCTAAAAAAAGGAAAATGAAAAAAAATTAAACCGAAAAATAAATAAATAACAAATACAGCGCAGACATAGTGCACACAATGACAAAAAGTACACGTTCAATATTACACAGCAATGATAATACAAACCCTCTTGAAATGCAGCTCGCACAATTCATCAGCACTCATTCCTAACAAAGACACACAGTCGCGATCAAACATAAGAAATGATGCAGAATCTGTGTTATCCACAACTCTGACCTGAACCCTAAATCAGGAGTTTTCAAAAAAATTATATCTGCAAAAAAAAATTAACGATACGAATTAAAGACGAATTATAAACGATGAACAATATATTACCTCGGATAATAATCTTCCCAATGTTTTTGGCAGTTCTTACAGTGCCACTTTTCAAAATCCTCACAAACAGAAAATGGACATTTTTTGCAAGACTTGTACCATTAGTTGTACTTGCTCTCAATAGCTTTTATAGTCCCGTACGTGATGCACGTTGTAACCTTAAATATAGCCATAGTAGGTAAACAAGAAACATCATCCATACAGAATTGACATAATTCAAGAAAAGCAAAAAAATAAAAATTCAATATTTACCTCACCACAAAGCTTCACATCGCTAATAGATTTCTTTTTAGTCTCCCTGAGAAAATCATTTTCAAAAGAATAGGAGGACTGAGTAGACAACTGAGTCATCCTCAAACTGCTTTCCACACCATCAGCCGAAAGACTATACAACAAAAATTCATAATTCGATAAATGCAAATATTCATAAAACCATCACAGATATTGATTATAAATTGTCACATGAGTGCAAGAAAATCGAACACACCATTTTTTGAACTCAACGATATCTGGCACCTTCAAATCCATAACAATCCTTGTTGTATATTTTGTATTTGTTATCCCGACCTTACCTATCGAGTTGAAAATATCAGATAAAAACCGAATACAGAAGCAAAAAAAAATTAAAATAACGTGGATAAAAATCGATTACAAAAGCCAAAATTAAAATAACGTTTCGTTTGTAAAAAAACATACCCCTAAAGCATTTTATCCTTCCCAGTTGGACTATAAGGACGTTATGAGGAGTGTCGCTGTTTGCCAAAAAATATTGCACCTCATCCACATAATGCTCCGACAAAGTGCACTCCAGCTCTTGACCCCTACACATGAGTTGCAGCAAGCACAACGTTAATAAACGAAAAATATAAGCTGACAGAGCTTGACAAAATTATTTTATTTAACTTAAAAATTTAAATATCTGAGGTTGTCAAGCTCCAACACTACCATTTTCGTCTTCCTACCAGAAACCACACGATCACAAACTTCCCCAATTCCTGAGGCTAAACCAATGACGTCTCAAAAAAAAAAAAAAAGAGTGCAGCAAAGAGTTAGTGAAAAAAAATTGCAATAATTAAAAAATGGATAACAGTAAGGAAAAGTATATTACCGACTAAATAAGGAGAGTCAGACGTTTCTTTCTCAATGATGTCATAATCAACAAAATCAAATTCACTCGCAGAAATATCAGAATCAACAATTGATTTAACATCAGTCCTCAAGATGAAAGACAAACGATACTGATGCTTGGTTGGCCTGAACACATCGCTATTGAATCCAACTCCAAATTTTTTTTTATAAAATAGCACTCTCCTTCATGGATTTTCTTCCGCACCGGCAAAGAACCTTTGACAGTGGCGTGGATCCTACCACCTTACAAAAGAACGCAGCCGCCAACTCACACCAATAACGTTAATTAAAATGATCGGAACAAAGATGGAAGATTTAAAAAATGCAAAGATGGAAGATTTAAAAAATGCAGACAACTACCTGTTCATCCAATAAAACCATTTCAACATTATCATCAAAATCTATACGTCGAAAGTTAGGAATTTTCCAAGCACGTACCACCTTCACCTTAATCCTCCAGTCCTCCTTGGCAGGATTCACATCCTTCAGAAAATCATATTTTGAAAACATGTTTTTTGTAAGACGAAAAAATAGAGAAGCAAGAACCGAAGTTGAGGAAGCAATGCGTGTATCAGCTGATATTTGACAGCAGCAGCAGCAGCAAAAAAAGAAAAAGAAAAAGTAAGGAAAACGAATCAAAACGTCCCAAAGCGTTCGTATAGAATACAAAACATATGTCTTTTTTAAATTCTTTAACAAAACCAATGCATAAAGTAGCTCAACATTAAATGAGCTGTCTGTCACCGTTCAGAATTCAAAAATCAAATTTTAAATTTCAAGTTAAAATTCAAAATAAAATTTCGAAATTCAAAGAGCAGTGAGATAGGTTTAAATGAGCTGTCTACCACCAACATTTTTAACAAATCTTGACATCAAATTTTAAACTGCAAAAATAAGGAACAAATATTTTAATTAAATTTATTATTTTTATACATTTAAACCGTAGGTTGGGTTATTTCGAGTAATTAGAAAATATTTTTATTTTTTCAAAATTTGTAAATTTTTGAATTACAGTAAATTAAGGTTAAAAAAAATCCAAACTTTATTTTTTTAAAATAAGTACGAAATTTGTAGGTTGGGATTTTGTTGATTAGTACGAAATTTGTTATTTTTTTTGAAAACAAAAGAATTTTTTTGAATTCCACTGAATCAGGTTAATAAAAATCCATATTTCGAAGCCATAGATTTAAATGAGTTGCCTGTCACTATTCAGAATTCAAAAATCAAATTTAAAATTTCAAGTTAAAATTCAAATTCAAATTCAAATTTGGAAATTAAAAGAGCAGTCAGATATACATTAATAAGCTTTCTGCCACTAACATTTACAACAAATCTTGACCATTGATTTAAATCAAAAAATCTTGTCCATCGAATTAATCTTGAAAAATTGATTTTGTTTTATATTTACTTTTTTCACTGATTTAACAAAGAAGGAAAGGTTTTTAAAATTCTGTAGTGTGAAGACAAAGCTGAAAGTGAAGGAGAAAGCGACACGTCAGCAAACTTGCCAAAGTTTGAATTCCATTTATTTTCTTTTTTTAAGATTTAAATTTAAAGTGTCGGTTTGAATGTTTTTAGTAGTTATAATTGCGATTTTTATGGAAAAAATCTGAAATTTGTTGAATTCCACTTAATCAAGGTTAATAAAAATTCAAATTTTAAAATGCAAAAATAAGGATAAAATTTTCTAATCAAATTTATTATTTTTATACATTCAAACCGTAGATTGGGTTCTTTCGAGTATTTAGAAAATATTTTTATTTTTCAAAAGTTGTAAATTTTTGAATTACACTGAATCAAGGTTAAAAAAAATCCAAACTTTAAATTTTAAAAATAAGTACGAAATTTGTAGGTTGGGATTTTGTTGATTAGTACGGAATATGTTTTTTGGAAAACAAAAGTAAATTTTTGAATACCACTGAAAATATTTGTTGAAAATGTAGAGAAGGAAAAGGGTTTAGGGAATGGCAAAAAAATTAATTTATTGCTTTTTTATTAAAAAATTACGAATAAATAGTCGTTTTGAAAAATATTACGAATCTATAGCACTCAAACACGCCCACATGGGACGTGACCCAGTGGAGAGAGACACGTTCATGTGGGGCGTGACCTATGGGAGAGACACGCCTATAAGAGGCGTGAGCTGGACTTGAAAAAGGGTATTCTAATATATTATAGAATTGTAAATAATCTGTACAAGGGGTTCTCTATTTATAAAGAATATTTGACCTAATTTTAACCTAATGGGCTTGGCCCAATACAACAAATAAATAACTAAATAATAACTAAATAATTATTATTTACAACACTCCCCCTCAAGCTGAGGAATAGATATTTATCATTCACAGCTTGCTAGTAAGTTCTTGAAATCTATCTGAAGGAAGCTCCTTTGTTAATAGATCAGCTAATTGACGCCCAGTGGGAATGTATGGAGTGGTAATCAACCCGCTATTTCTGTTTGATGAAATGGCGGTCAACCTCAATATGTTTAGTCCGATCATGTTGGACTGGATTATGAGCTATACAAATAGCGGACTTATTATCACATAGCAGCTTCATAGGTCCCTCACATTTTATTTTGAGATCATCAAGTACAATTTTCAGCCACAGTAACTCACAAATGCCTTGAGCCATAGCTCGAAATTCAGCTTCTGCACTTGATCTGGCAACCACATCTTGGTTCTTACTTCTCCATGTCACCAAGTTACCGCAAAGAAACATGCAATAACCAGTGGTAGAACGACGGTCAGTCACGGATCCAGCATAATCAGCATCTGTGTAGACTTCTAAAGATAGATTGCCATCACGTCGGAATAACAATCCTTTACCAGGAGTACCTTTAAGATACTTAAGAATTCTCTCTACTGCCTGCATGTGTTTTTCTTTTGGATCGTGCATAAACTGGCTAACAACACTAACAACATAAGCTAGGTCTGGTCTAGTATGGGCCAGATATATCAATTTCCCAACTAGCCGTTGATATTGTCCTTTATCAACCGGAGGACTCTCTTCTTCATAGCCCATCTTGTGATTCTGCTCAATAGGAGTATTAGAGGGTTTACACCCGAGCTTTCCTGCTTCTTTGAGAAGATCAAGAACATATTTCCTCTGGCTGATAAAAATTCCTTTGCTTGAATGAGCTACTTCTATCCCTAGGAAATATCTCAGTTTCCCAAGGTCTTTGATTTCAAACTCAGAGGCAAGCCGTGTTTGCAGAATCTGTCTCTCCACAAAATCATCACCTGTGATAATAATATCATCAACATATACAAGGAGCACAGTAAGCTTCCCATTTTGGGAGTGCTTGAAGAAAAGAGTGTGATCTCCTTGGCTCTGTCTGTATCCTAAGGTCATCATAACCCTAGTAAATCTTCCAAACCAAGCACGAGGTGACTGCTTCAATCCATACAAGGCCTTTTTTAATCTACAAACTTTATTTTCCCCCTTCACAGAATCAAAACCAGGCAGGATTTCCATGTAGACTTCTTCTTCTAACTCACCATTGAGGAAAGCATTTTTCACATCAAATTGATTTATATCCCAATTGTAATGGGCAGCAAGGGATAACAAGATTCTCACTGTATTCATCTTTGCAACTGGAGCAAAGGTTTCTTCATAATCAATGCCATAGGTTTGAGTGTAACCTTTGGCCACTAATCGAGCCTTATATCTCTCAAGAGTGCCATCAGAATTATATTTCAGGGTATAAACCCATCTGCACCCTACTGCTTTCTTTCCGTTGGGTCTATCAATAACCTCCCATGTTTTATTTTTCTCCAAAGCATTCATCTCCTATTGCATGGCTTGAGCCCAATTCCTATCTTTCAAGGCTTCATGTACTGATTTTGGGATTGCAATAGAATCTAGTGCTGAAACAAAGCTTTTGTGCTGCACAGAAAGATTAGCAGAGGAAACAAAGTGGGAGATAGGGTATTGAGTACAAGAGGGACAGGAGGAACAAGTTTTCTTGTGACAAGATCTTTTTCCTTTTCTAAGAGCAATAGGTAAGTCATCATAAGTAGAAGCAATGGGTAAGTCATTAGAGATATCAGAAGAAATAGACAAATCATGAGAGGAAATAATATTAGAATCAGAAACAGGAGATTCAGGAGACTCAGAAGAAATAGGAGATTCAGGACTTACCAGTGGTTCAGACGATTGAGGTTGCTGGTGAGACAATATGGGTTGTATCTCAGGTGTATTTGAAGGTTCTGACACACCAGGAGCAGACACACTAGGAAGAGAGAAGATTGATCCAGACTCAAAGAAGGAAGGGGACGAGTCTTCTAAAGAACTATTCTCCCCCTGACGATGAGGACCCAGAAAATAAGATTCAGATTCTTGAAAGGTGACATCCATAGAAACAAAAAATTTCCGACTTGGTGGATGATAACACTTGTACCCTTTTTTGTAAGGGTTATAACCAAGGAAGACACACTTAAGAGCCCTAGGATCCAACATACTCCGATGTTGTTTATGAACATGGACAAAGGCAACACATCCAAACATTCTTGGTGGAAGGCTCTGCAATATGGGAGCAGAAGGAAAGAAGGAAGTCATGGAATGAATAGGACTGATATTGTTAAGGACCCGTGAAGGTAAACGGTTGATCAAAAAAGTTGCAGCTAATACTGCTTCTCCCCAATAAGAACTAGGAACAGATGTCTGAAAAAGTAGTGCTCTAGCAATTTCAAGAAGGTGACGATTTTTCCTTTCAGCAACCCCGTTTTGTTGAGGGGTATCAACACATGTGAGCTCATGAATCATACCTCTGTCTGAAATGAATTGTGACAGGCGTTGATTGACGTACTCAATACCATTATCAGATCTGAGTCTTTTAATACCCTTACCAAACTGAGTTTCAACCATGTGATGAAACCGAATAAATATCTCTGGTACTTTAGACTTGTCTTTCATCAAGTATATCCATGTTATCCGAGTACAATCGTCAATAAAAGAAACAAACCACCTTGCACCTGAAACACTGTGCACTTTAGAAGGGCCCCAAACATCAGAATGGATAAGAGAAAAAGGTTCCCTGCTTTTAATAGTGCTAGAAGGAAATGACACTCGATGGTGTTTTGCAAATTCACAAACATCACAATGAAAGGTCTCAACCGACTTATTGAGAAACAGAGATGGGAACATAGACTTCAAAAGACTAAATGGTGGATTCCCGAGACGCTTGTGATGGAGCCAAATCATAGACTCTGCAGTAGAAGGATGACGTGTCATTAATAACTGATTTTTGCTAGCATGGTCTGGAAGGAGATGATACAACCCATCCTGTTCAATAGCAACTCCAATTGTCTTCTTCGTGGTAAGATCCTGAATAAGACAATGAGAAGGAAAAAATGTGATAGAACAATTCAAATCAGTTGTAAGTTTTTGAGTGGAGATAAGATTAGTAGAAAGCTGAGGAACATAAAGAACATTTTTAAGAAACAAGGAAGGTTGAATTTGAATGTTACCAGAACCAATAACTGATTTATGGGATCCATCAGCTACGAATATAGTATAACTACCAACAGTAGGATGATAAGAACAAAACAACTAAGTACGACAAGCCATATGATCAGTTGCACCAGAATCCAAAATCCATGAGGTTTTAAAATCAGTGCAAGAAGCAAGAAGAGATATAGAACGTGTGCTCTTACCAGATAAGATCGAAGAACTATCATGCTCGACCATTCTTTAACAAAAAAAGTTAACAACCAGCGATAAAATCAACCAAACATAATATCAAATGACCTCTGATCAGAAAAATAATTACAGATCCAGACATAAGACAAGAAGACGAGAAGAATGGTGGTGGTTCGGTCCAAAAACACGGCCGCACGCGCCTCCACGCGCCGAAGAAAGGAGCTGCGCGTGGGATTCACTCGTCGGGAAAGGGGCGGCTCGTGAGAGCGCGTGGATGGGCTTCCCCGGCTGAGATTTTTCTGGTGTGGTCGTCCGGTGAGCACGCACCTGTCTGTGGGTGGTCGCGGTTGAAAAGTCGCCGGAAAGTGGTCCAAACGGTGAAGACATATCTGATTGGAGGCGGTCAGAGGTGTTTCGGTCGTTTGTAGCGGAGGAACAGTGCGTAGAATGATAGATCAGAGGAAAAATAAGGTCAACAATGGTCCCCTTGGTCCAAAAGGTCCCCGGAAAATTTTTCCGGTGGTGGCTGATGGCGGCAAGAGGCAAAGAAATTAGGGTTTTGTTAAAAAAGAAGATAATATGTGCGGAAGCAAAGCCCTCAGATCGAGAGCTCTGATACCAACTTGAAAAAGGGTATTCTAATATATTATAGAATTGCAAATAATCTAAACAAGGGGTTCTCTATTTATAGAGAATATTTGACCTAATTTTAACCTAATGGGCTTGGCCCAATACAACAAATAAATAACTAGATAATTATTATTTAAACAGCTGGAAAAATGGGAGACACGCCCAAAAGAGGCGTGACCCAAAAAGGACACACGCCGGTCTAAGGCGTGTCCTTGATTTTGATGCTTCCCGTTTACTTTCTCTTTCGCTCTTTCATTTCTGGGTATTACCCAACTTCAACCCCATCTTTCCCATCCTTACTCTCTGCCAAGCCAAAGCTTAAACCTCCTGTATCCGTTGATATTATCTCCACCTCTGCATGCCTTCCCAAACCAAAATCAGTACAATAAACACCAAATCAATTTGACCCTGCTAGTCCCATCAATTCAGCTCCCTCACTTTGCAAAGCCTTCACTCTACAAAACCCACCCCCGGTTCCTCTAAAAACTCCCTTATCAAAGCTTTTTATTTTATTATGAATGCACTTAGCAACAATAAGGGTGATTTCTTGAATAACATCAATTCAGCTCTCTCTCTATTATGAATGCGAAGCCTTTATTTTATTATGAATGCACTCTAGAAAACCCACCGCGAATGCAAAAGCGAATTTATCTTTGTCATTTTCAACTCCTTGAATAGCTTTAGCAATGCAGAAAGGTACTATGGCTTACGAAAATGTGATTTCTTGTACAAGTTGGAAGTTGTCATTTGTATAAATATCTGATCACGCCTTAGATGGGCGTGTGTCCCTTTTGGGTCACGCCTCTTCTAGGCGTGTCTTCTTTTTTCTCAACTCACGTCCCATCTGGGCGTGTCTCTTTTATCACTCACGCCCCACATGGGCGTATGCATGTTTGAGTGCTATAGATTCGTAATATTTTTCAAAATGACTACTTATTCGTAATTTTTTATTAAAAAATTAATAAATTAATTTTTTTGCCTTTAGGGAATATAAAAAATGGGCGTTAGTAAAAAATCAAATTTTAAATTTTAAAAAATCAGAACCGAAAGTTTGAATTCCAGTTATTTTTTGTTTTTTAGATTTGAATTTAAATTGTAGGGTTGGATGTTTTTAGTATTTAAAATTGCGTTTTTTATGGAAAAAAACAGAAATTTGTTGAATTCCACTTAATCAAGGTTAATAAAAATTCAAATTTTAAACTGCAAAAATAAGGAACAAATATTTTAATCAAATTTATTATTTTTATACATTTAAACCGTAGGTTGGGTTATTTCGAGTAATTAGAAAATATTTTTAATTTTTCAAAAGTTGTAAATTTCTAAATTACAGTAAATTAAGGTTAAAAAAAATCCAAACTTTAAATTTTAAAAATAATTACGAAATTTGTAGGTTGGGATTTTGTTGATTAGTACGAAATTTGTTATTTTTTTTGGAAAACAAAAGAATTTTTTTGAATTCCACCTAATCAGGTTAATAAAAATCCAGATTTCGATGCCATAGATTTAAATGAGTTGTCTGTCACCATTCAGAATTCAAAAATCAAATTTAAAATTTTAAGTTAAAATTCAAATTCAAATTTGGAAATTAAAAGAGCAGTCAGATATACATTAATGAACTGTCTGCCACCAACATTTACAACAAATCTTGACCATTGATTTAAATCAAAAAATCTTGTCCATCGAATTAATCTTGAAAAGTTGATTTTGTTTTATATTTATTTTATTCACTGATTTAACAAAGAAGGAAAGGTTTTTAAAATTTTGTAGTGTGAACACAAAGCTGAAAGTGAAGGAGAAAGCGACACGTCAGCAAACTTGCCAAAGAATGAAATTCCTTTAGAATAATAGAAAATAAGTACGAAATTTGTAGGTTGGGATTTTGTTGATTAGTGCGAAATTTGTTATTTTTTTTGGAAAAACTGAATCAGGTTAATAAAAATTCAGATTTCGATGCAATAGATTTAAATAAGTTGTCTGTCACCATTCAGAATTCAAAAATCAAATTTAAAATTTCATCTTAAAATTCAAATTCAAATTTGGAAATTAAAAGAGCAGACAGATATACATTAATGAGCTGTCTGCCACCAACATTTACAATAAATCTTGACCATTGATTTAAATCAAAAAATGTTGTCCATCAAATTAATCTTGAAAAATTGATTTCATTTTATATTTATTTTATTCACTGATTTACCAAAGAAGGAAAGGTTTTTAATATTCTATAGTGTGAACTCAAAGCTGAAAGTAAGGGAGAAAGCGACACGTTAGCAAACTTGCCAAAGAATGAAATTCCTTTAGAATAAAAGATAATAGATGAGTTACAATATTGATTGTTTAATTTATTGTTATCCTTTAAAATAAAAGATCTTGTATACATATATTGATTAGTTTTTCTGGGTACATGGAATAAATTGTTTGTCATCATCAAAAGGGGGGGAATTGTTGGATATTTGTTATACCCCAATTGTTTAATTGATTTAGAATATGTTTTGATGATTACAATCAATTTAATGTTAATATTTTATATTCTTGAAATTACTAATGAGCTAGTTGTTTGAGATTTCAGAATAATATTTATTCTGATTTAAAATAGTATTTAAGATAATTGAAGATTGCATGAAGATTAAAGAAGATATAGAAAATATCGTGAAGAAAGAGAAAAGCATGGTATCAATATTCAAGATAATTGAAGATTGTATAAAGATTGGAGAAGATATGGAAGATATAATGAAGAAATAAAAAAGCATGGAATCAAGTAAAGATTAGGATAAATTTTATCTTTTTAGATTTCATGTAAGAGAAATAAAATAATCTTTGTCAAAGATTTGATTAAGATTGCATTGCGCATAATAGATTAAGATGTTATTATTATAAATATGACTCATTGCATATTATTTGAGTGTGAAAAAATAAAACAAGAGAGAAAAGAGAAAAAAAATACAAAAGAAGAGAGAAGAATATACAAAAAGAAGAGATTACAGTTAATTCTATTAGGGTCCGTGGTTTTTTCTTCTGACAAAGCCTCACATCTAGTCGGACCCACGGGGCTTATGGCATCACACTTTGGTGGGGTGCTGAAAAAACTTGAGATGGGGGTTAATTATATCGACTATGTGTGGGATGAAGCAGAGAAAAAGCAGTACCAAAACCCATCCGTGAAAGAGTGGCTTGATGAACTTAAACAGTTTGCTTATGAGACAGACCAACTGTTAGATGAGATTGCTACTGATGCTACGCTGAAGAAGCTCAAGGCTAAATCTCATCCAACTACCAGCAAGGTACGAGGCTTCTTTTCAGCCTTTACTGGTAATCCATTTGAATCCAGGATCAAAAAGTTGCTAGAGAACTTTGAATTTCTTTCAGCAAAGCAAGAAGAAACGCTAAACGTGGGAAGCAATGAAGGTCACTTTCGTGGGAATCGCTCAAAAAGACCGCCCCCCACACCTTTGTTGGATCCATCTAGCAGCATATATGGTAGAGATGGGCAAAAGGAGCAAGTAATCAACTTTTTACTTTCAGACCATGTCAGTGGTGGCGATGATGGAGTTCCCGTAATTAGCATAGTGGGTATCGGTGGAATGGGTAAGACAACCCTTGCTCAGCTTGTGTACAATGACCAAAGGATGAAGGAGCAGTTTGAATCTAGTAGAGCATGGGTCCATGTTTCGGATTATTCTAATGTTGCTAGACTTACAAAAGCAATTCTTGAGTCGTTTAAGTTTTCAACAGATGCTGGAGGAGAAGACTTTATACCACTCCAAGGTGAATTGGCGAAGAGGGTAACTGGCAAGAAATATTTGCTTGTTCTAGATGATGTCTGGAATATTGATGAGGAAAGTTGGGTGGCCCTAAGTGCTGCCCTTAGCTATGGATCTCCTGGAAGTAGAATTCTTGTCACTACACGTGATAAGAAGGTAGCATCAGTCATGAATTCCACCCAACTACTTCCTTTAAAGGAATTGAAGGAAAATGATTGCTGGAGTTTATTTGTGAGACGTGCTTTTGGGAACAAGGATGTAAGTGAATGTCGAGATCTTGAATCAATTGGCAGGAAAATTGTAGAGAAGTGTGGAGGGTTGCCTTTGGCTATAAGTGTATTGGGAAAACTCTTGAGAAGAAATCTCTCCGAACCTTTTTGGAATGAGATACTGGAGACTGATATGTGGATTTTATCGGATAAAAATAACATTAATCCGGTACTGAGATTGAGTTACCATGTCCTTCCATCCAATCTGAAGCGTTGTTTTGCTTATTGTTCCTTGTTTCCCAAAGGTTACAGGTTCGTAAAGGAAGAGTTAATCAAGCTTTGGATGGCAGAAGGTTTGCTGAAATGCAACCGAACAGATGAAAGCGAAGAAAAGTTGGGTAATAAATTCTTCAATGGACTAGAGTCAATTTCATTTTTCCAACAATCAGGAGGTAGAGATGATTGTTTCGTCATGCATGATCTTGTCAATGATTTAGCAAAATCGGTGGCAGGGGAATTTTGTTTAAGAATCGAGGGTGATAAGGTGCAAGATGTCCCTGAGAAGACACGTCATATTTGGTTGTGCTATGATAAGGTGCAAGATGTCCCTGAAAAGACACGTCATATTCTCAAGTGTAAGGGGCTACGCAGTCTGATGATGACAAGAACAAGGATAGGAGGTGATGAAGGCTTCAAGATATGCAACGATGTACAACAAGCCATGTTCTCAACACTAATATATTTGCGGGTGTTATCATTCAAAGATTGTGATCTCTCGGAGCTAGCTGATGAGATAGGCAATTTGAAGCTTTTGCGCTACTTAGACCTTTCTTCCACAGACATTACAAGGTTACCTGATTCGATTTGTAGGTTGTATAATTTGCAGACACTGAAATTGTATGATTGTCCAGAGCTGGAATCGTTTCCTGAGCGAGGTTTGCCTTCCAGCCTGAGCAGCCTCGAAATAAAGAGATGCCCCAAACTGATTGCTTCGAGAGAGGAGTGGGGTTTGTCTAGACTTCATTCTCTGAAACAATTCACAGTTAGTGATGACTTTGAAAACGTGGAGTCCTTCCCGGAGGAGAATCTTCTGCCACCCAATATTAATATTCTCTGCTTGGAGAATTGTTCAAAGCTAAGAATAATTAACAAAAGGGGTCTTCTCCACCTCAAATCTCTCAGAACCTTATATATTTGGGATTGCCCTTGTGTTGAGTACTTGCCAGAGGAGGAGGGTCTACCCAACTCCCTTTCCGCTTTGTGGATTAGTGATTGTCCATTACTTGAGCAGCGCTATCAGAAGGAGGGAGGAGAGCATAGGCATAAAATTCGTCACATCCGTTGTGTGGAATTTCGCTACTGCTGAAAGAGATGTTAGGACATGCAGGTGTGCCACATTTTTGCATCTGTTTATATTCAGTGCTTTACCTGTCAAACAAACCTTTGTAATTTATTTATTTTTTATATTTTTGAAAAATTGAAATGAGATAAGATTCTATATTTCATGTTGGAACAGTGCCACGTGGTTTGTGACTTGTCCTAAGAATTCCATGACACTAGCTATTTGAGATACTGCTATGACTCACTTTTTTTTATTTTTTTTATTTTATTGCAATATGTGAATAGTTATTGTATTTAATTTGCTAAAAACGTAGTTTTACAAAGACACTATGTCGAGGGGCATTAACGAATCCCTTTCAGATAATAATAATAAAAAAATTCCTCGTTATATTGTTTTTAATATTCAAACAACTAACAGAAGGAATATTCAACAAATAGGTGTTCATTGATTTTTTTTGTTTCTTTCTCTTGGTATCCTCTTGAACAACTTTTCTTCATTTTATAGAAATTGTACTCCATGCCCCAATAAAATAATGTGTCTACAATTTATATATGTAAGTATTGGTCTAAAAAAACACTATGCTGTGTGTTGTTGTAAAGGCCACCAAATGCATTGCTACACAAAGCAACAGAGCAAGCAAGTGCAAGCAAGTGCAGTTAACTTAGAGCTATGAGAACCTCTCCCTCATATTATGTTTTATGTGCAATTCATTTGGTTGCATCTGACTGTGTGCTTTTCATACAGTGGTGGTGATCTTGAAGCTCAAGGTTGCTTGACACTCGCTCACTCTGCAATTGTTTATGTTTGCAAGCAACAACCTCAACGGTCACTCTGCTAAACTATCTCTTTCTATTGATACAGGTGAACTATGGATGGAGTTCTCTATATCACTAGATATCCAATTACCAGTAATTAATCATGTTTTTGTGAGCACAGTAATAGAAATATTGGATTTTTAGTTTAACTAAAAGTGGCTATTGAACATTGAGCCTTTAAGCCAACTTTATATTGCTGTGTGTGGTTGATAGCTTTGCTTAGTTCCTCAACGAGGCCACGTTTAATTTGTATAGACAAAGGCCTGGCGACTGTTTTTGTATGCTTATGTGGTTGTTGAAATGATATGGTTTGCTAGAAATGACTCAATTTTTAATCAAAGAGTGCAGGACCCGTAAAATTTTGTGCATAAAGTGCAAAGATTTTTGGAGTTAGAGCAAGTTACGCTTGGAAATGACTGCTTATTGAATGGGCATGTTCCACGTTCTCCTCTTCCTTTTAATTGGTATAAATTGAACTTTGATGCAGCCTTTTGCAATAAACAAGTATTGCTAGCAGCAATATGTTGGAATCATGAATATACTTGACTAGTGGGGTTCACATTTCTTTCTGAATCTTGGGCCTTCCAGTGTTCTCATGGTCGAACTTTTGGGGATTTGTCACTCTTATGGTTATTCATACTTTGAATCGAATAGTTTGAATCGAATTATTTGAGTAATCTGTGAACCTAAAAGAAAATTCATTAGTCATATGAGCTATTTAGATGCAAATGATATCAATAACCAAATAATAAATTAAGATTCATTAGACACAAATGTAATTATTGACAAATTTGAGAAGCTAACTTACAAAGGTTAATAATATATATATATATATATATATATATATATATATATATATATATATATATATAAGGAGAATAAAAGTATGTTTTGTTTTATCTTTTCTTCTCGTCAAGCAATCCTTTCTCTCAAGGTATCCGTTACAACTCCCTCACGCTCCTGTCCCACTTAAATTATAATAGTAGAATTTATTTCCCTTTTCAACAAGCAGTACATGATTCCTTACACACTTTTTCTATTACAACCCCGCTCCCCTTTCACTCTTCATTATATCTTTTACAACGTTAAGTTTTGTATACTTCAAAGCATCCAATGAACTCTTCTCTTTCAAATTCCACACTTTCAACTCCATTGTTGTTTGAACCATCAACATCTAGCACAAGCACCTCAACCAGCAGAAGTGGCAGTACCAACAGTGACACAGATGACACTCCCTTTTCTTCAAAACAATTTGAGCTGCAACATGTCAAGCATCAATTCTCATTCATACCCTTTTCTGGTTTTCATTCTCATCGTTCACTGGCTGTTCTTTCTGGCCATGTTGGTGTTGTTTCTTGCTTGGCCTTGTGTGGAGAGTTCATACTGAGTGCTTCAGAGAGCAATGATATCATAGTGTGGCAGCAACCTGATATGAGGCTTTTCACAAAGTTTGGAAGAGGAGATGGTTCTGTCAAAGCCCTTGTAACTTCTGGGAACAAGGTTTTCACTGCACATCAAGATGGGAAGATCAGGGTTTGGAAGGTGTCAAGGAGCTCAGAGAATGTGTTCAAGCTTGTTGATACCCTTCCCACAAAAAAGGACTATTTGGGGAAGTTTATGAAGCAGGGTAACTATGTCCAAACAAGAAGGAACCATAAGCGTTTGTGGATTGAGCATGCTGATAGTATTTCTTGCTTGACAGTGTATAATGGGTTGATTTATTCTGGGTCTTGGGATAAGACCCTTAAGATATGGAGGCTCTCCGATTTCAAGTGTTTGGAGTCCATTAAGGCTCATGATGATGCAGTTAATGGGTTGGTAGCATGTAAAGGTATTGTGTATTCTGCTTCTGCAGATGGGAAGATCAAAGCTTGGGGAAGGGGAAAGAATACCTCTCATTGTTTGAAAGGAATTCTGGAGGGTCATAAAGATGTTTCTTTTAATTCTGTCATTGTTTCAGATGATGGAAAATGGGTTTATGGGGGGAGTTCAGATGGTTTTGTAATGGGGTGGGAGGGGAGTGGGAATTTTGAGAGTTGGAAGCTGGTTTGTGAAACCAAGGCACATGAAATGGCTGTTTTGTGTATGTGCCTAATGAGTGAGTTATTGTGCAGTGGCTCAGCAGATAAAAGCATAGGAATTTGGAAGAGAGAGGTTTTTGGTAAACTTTGTAAAATTAGGGTGATAAGTGGGCATGAAGGGCCAGTGAAGTGTTTGCAAGCTTCAACTAATAGGATTGGTGGTGGGTTTTTACTCTATAGTGGAAGCCTTGACAGAAGCTTGAGAGTTTGGTGGATCCAATTCCAAGGTACACTGCTGAAGTAGAAGACAACTCTACCACACTTGGCACACTGAAGAAATCCATCATCTCCTTTTAGGAAAATTGTGAAGTTTGAGTAGTGAAGCACAGGATCTCTCTTTACAGTATCTGCTGTGCTAGGTTTGGGAAAAACACAGTTACTTCAAACTCAAACAGCTAGGAGAAAGGAAAAGTTGAAGCTCTTGTCTCTTGGAATTGCAGTTTTGTTTTTCTGTTCCACATTTCTTTATTTTAAAACTTTTATCTGAGAGTTTATTGTAGAATTTTAGGGGTGAAATTTAGGGGGCTTGCTTTATTTGCTATTGTCTTGTCAGTGAAGTAATTAGGTGGACATAGCTGAGTGGAGTGATTATACAATTTTTTTTTTTTTTTTTTCGTATTTCTCTACAAATGTAACCATGCCTTTAAGGGATTCAAGGAAATAAATTATGTTTTTTTTTCTGTTACATGATTATGTTTCATCCATTTGTAGTTCACAGTGCATTTAACCTATTTGGATGGCTCCCTTGGGTAATATTTATCACACTGCATGAAAGATTCGCACATAGCAAGGTATCTCAATAAGTTGCTTCAGGCGTTTCTAAGTGTTCTGTTGTTGATATTATTCTTACTTTTCAGTTTGTAGATGAGGGTTATGATTGTTAATTAACTACTTCCCGTTAAATCCCGACTAGCGAGGATAGGGATGTGAGTAATTCTTGTATATAGTTTATTCTTGCATATCTGCAAAGAGGTTAATAAAAAGGCTTGGACTAAAATTGGTTGTTGGCACATGCTTGGACTTTTATAAAAGCTCGTTTAATAAAAAGGCCTCGGACTACAATTCAAAAGTTCGGCAAGCCTCTCAGGCTGACCTAGTATATTATTTTTTATTTATATTTTATATTTTTTGTACTACTTGTAATAGCCATCTTTTACTCCTCAATCCATTTCACCCTATTTTATTGGTTAAACAGACTTTTTGAATGATTTTGTTGTATATTTTGTTGTTTGAATATAAATTGAATTTATGAATATTTATGGAATTACTAGGGTTGTTGATTGTATGTTCTGTTTGGATAAATTTTTGTTGTCTTATTTTTTTTAAACAGGCTAAACAAGGCTTTTATTTTTTGTAAATAAGCCAGGCCGCAGCCGATAGTTATATTTATAACAGGTAACAGACTTGGTCAGGCTGACACATTTAAACACAGACTTAGCCTTTTAAGACCAAAGCTCGGCTCGGCTCGGCCCGTTAACACCCCTACTTAGGTCTATCTCTTTCCTAAAATGACATAACTTATATCCTCTTAAAGGACAAACATCAAACTTAATTGAAAAAGAGAAAAAAAATGTATGTGATTTTAAAGCGTAGAGTTGTGTCATTTAAACGAGAGAAAAACACTAAATCAATTGAAAAATTCTATTTTTAATTTTTACTTCTTATTAAATTAGTATATTTTGATAATGAAATTATACTTATCACCATTTTTTCTTATCACTTTTATCACCAAAATTTAATCGTTAATTTTTGTCAATCTATCAGTTATAATTTATTACATTATATTTATTAATTAATTATTAATTCATAATAAATTATAACCATTGGATTGAGGAAAATCAACGATTAAATTTTGATGATAAGAAAAAATGGTGATAAGTATAAGATATCCCTATTTAGAGATATTTTTTTAAAAAGTAAGTTATGATATTTTATGTATGAGTTCATTTTTTTTTGCAGTTAATGCAGATAAGTTATCTGCAACGAGCCCAAAACGACGTCATTTTGGGTGGAAATCAATGTATTTTCGTAATTTTAAATTTTTTCAAGGTTATAATAGTCTTTATAATTATAGTTTTTTAATATTTCTACACCAAAACGACGTAATTTTGAGAAAAAATGCAGATAATTTATCTGCAGTAACTGCAGAAACATTTTTCTGTTTAGGTATATAATTTAGTTGGAAAATATTTTTCTTATGTTGTTGAAAATGAGTTATTTTGTGTGTAAGAAAATGGATTATCTCATGTTTATGTTGAATGAAATAAATATAACTTTACTAAGATTTAAAACATCATGATATTATAAACGAATAAAATACTATATTATAAAGGGAAATACTACTCTTATTTAACATGAGATAATTATCTCATTTTCTCTCACTTCGAAAATTGCATTCTTTTTTTTTTTTAATGGTGGGTCTCACTTAAATTCTCTCTATAGCATGAGAGAACTACTTCCATGTAACATGAGACTAATATTCACTTATTATAAATCACTTTTCCGGAACAAACGTAGGACGTGACACTTATGTAAAAAACAATAAATAAATAAAAAATGTTCAAAGATTATACCGGTTGTATTTTAAAAAAGAAATAATTAAATGGGTAAATTGGTAATTTAACTCGGCGTTCACGTTTATAAATACAAGGATTTCACTGCGTTAGTGGTTTCACTCTCACACGGTTTCACTCTAACACTGCGTCATTCACTCTGAACTTTTATGTGCCTCTTTGATCTTAGCTCTTAGTTCGTTGTTTTTCTTATATATTGCTTGATTGCGAAACCCATTTTGATGAACGTTGCTATTGCGTGAAGAAAAGAAAAAAAATGGGTAAATGGAATCATCGTCCGTCGCGTAGGTTCTTCCGCGGTCAAAGATCTCGCGAGCCTCCTCCGAAATTCTACAACATCAATGCCCCTCTTCCTGGTAATTCTTTCTTTTTTGCATTTCCTTATGCTATAGAGGGTAAATAAAACTTTGTTGAAAATTCAAGAATATCGGGGTTGTTTAAATTTTCCATTTTAAGTAAATATTCTCTTATTTGAGTTTTTTCTTCTTCTCAAAATTGAAGGGATAAAAAGTCAGTTTATCATTTAACGTTATATAACTCTCAATTGCTAACTTGCCAACCGTGATGTTAAAGGATGTAAAATAGTCAAAATGTTTAAAAAAATAACCAATTGTTAGTCTTTGGGATTTAGTAGCAAGCAGCTTAGGGTTTGTAAGTTGAACATATTAATCTCTTGTTTTTTAATATTATGTTATGCTTCAGTTGTTAATTTTATATGGCAAATTGATGCTAATAGTCCAATATATTTCTGTTTCCTTGTTTTTCTAATGTTGATCTTCTTTCTCTGTTCATATTGGTTTTAGATATCCTTGGGTGGCTACATTTTTGTATTTTCATATAATTTTTCTGAATAGCTTTTGTGGTTGTTGAACATACCAATACCGTTGAGGCATTGACCTGTTTCTTTACCTGCAGTCCTTTATATCTGAGAAAGTTATTACACTGATGATTTGATGATTTTATTATTTATTATGGTACCCTGCCATTATAACTGCAATATTACTATACTGAAATTCTTTTTTTTCAATCTTTGTTAGAGTTTCGGCAGGATGGGATACCTCTATGGGAGAAGAAATTCTGCACTTTGATTGGAACAGTGCCATGGCAGAAGATTGTTGATTCCAAGAAGTTTATGTTCTGCCACAGCAATGTGTTCAATTGGAATGATTCAGCTGCTGAAGAAGCATTTCAAAATGCGAAAAAATGTTACTGGGCAAAGATCAACAGCCTTCCTTGTGATATTTCTCTGCCTGATCCAGATACTTATATTCATCAAATAGATTGGAATCCTTATATTGATCCTGAACTGGTTAAGGAATTAGATAGTGCATTCTTTTCTCTACCTGATGATGAGGAACAAGAGACTTCCATGAAAAACAAAAGAACAAAAATTTCAGTAAATGGTGAAAATCCTTGGAAATGTACTGATACACCTCTAAGCGGAGCTTTAGAAAATGAAGTACAAGGATGGAACCAAGGGGATTATCGTGTTGATGATTCTGGAAATGTGGATAATTCTGACAATCCCTGGGAGTGTAACATTACTCATGGAAATGGAGGATTAACTGACAATGCTGGGGAAGGTGGTCATGTTAAGTCATGGGGTTGGAATGAAGGAAGGGATCAAAACAAACACTGTAGGGATTGGAATTCTGGATATAGCCTTTGGGAAAATGACTGTCTGGGCACACTTTCACAGAAGAATAAAGGATGGGGTAAAGTTAGGGATAGTTCTTGGTGCCAGCAGAAGTCAAATAATTCGGTTAACTTTGGCAACTCTTGGGAGTGCAAATCTAGTCAACAGAATGCAGCTCCAATAAACACAGGATGGGGAAAAAATGGGGCAAATGTGTCAGGATGGAAGGAACAGGAAAATGCTTATGTTTCAAGTGGTTTGCAATTTAGAAGAAATGATGGAGGTTGGACTGCCTGGAATCAGAGTTATCAGAGGAAGGAAGGCTCTAATAGACATACTTTGGGCTATAATGGCTCTCAATGTCAAAGGGGTGATCGTCAAACAGGTCATTACTGGAGGGGGGAGAAAAGTAAAAAGAGGGATTTTGCCCCTTGATAGCCATTAGAACATAATGTGCCTTGTTTTTTTGTGGGCAATAGTTTTTTTTTTCTGTTATACTGTTCATTTTTTATATCCCAAAATGGAACTGTTCGTCGGGATTTTGGGGGAAGTTGGATTTGCTTGCTAGAGTTTAAGGGTATTTGCTTTATCCTTGAGGTTAAAAGGGTTATCCAACAGTAAAGAATTCTCATACTTCTTCATTAGAGAAATATATCCATCAAGAAATTTGGCGTATTTGCTTTATCCTTGAGGTGTAAACTTTATATATTTCACTGGCCTGTATCACCATTTGCTTTTCTTTTGGTCATCTGTAGAGTGACAAAATTTTTGGGTTCGTCTAATGCATTTAGGGGTTAATGGAAAACATTTTTGGACCAGAGGTGGCACCAACTCTCCAGGAACTAGATCAAATCACAACTTTACTCTTCAGCGAAGTTGAGTCGAATTTAGGTGCTTTGGGAAAAGCTAAATGCCATTTGGCTTGAAGGCTATGGCTAGATCTTTGAAAAATGCTTCAGTAAGGTTCCCTGCAACTCAACACCTTATTTTATTTTGAATTAACAGTTTGAACGGTCTCTTCATAATAATAGTTTGGACTTTTTAGCTTACTTTTGCTTGTATTGTAGCTTGGAAAATAAAGTGTATATGATTGATCCAGTGTGAAAGATAGTCCACTCTTAGTTTAACTACTATGGTAGTATCTATGAGAACTTTGAACTTTGAAGAATTAATATCGATATCTGATGGCTTAATTTGTTTTTGTTAAACAGGGAATATTATGAACTAAAAATAATGGCCCGTTACATGCAAAAAGTAGTAAGAGACAAAAGTCTTAAAGGAACTAATGTTACATGATTTTTCTGCACCATGTTTTTGTTAATACCATCTGCTACTGAGCTTCCTCAAAGCCACGGATAAGTAGGAGTACGACACAGCAAGAACGATTTGCAAGATTCATCAGTGGAACCGTTGGGGATGAAATACAATTGAAGTGTATTACTGTTTACACCGATTCAAACTATAGTTTAGAAAGAGCACATGACAATTGAAGTGCTTTCCTGCTTACACTGATTCAACGTGTTTAGAGAGTAAATGTTACCTGTTCATATACTCGTAAAATTTCTTATCTTAAACGATACAAGTTAAAATGGTCACATTATTGATCAAACTTAGAAAGATAAATGAGGATGAAAAAAAATAAAAGAAAAAAATTCTAATTATTTTTTAAGGATGTTTTTCTCATGATATATAAGAAAAAAAATATCTCTTATACATTAATCAAAAGATGTGCAGCTCAGTTGGCGTATAAGAGCTAAGTAGGTGGGGGTGAGAGCATGTGTTCGAATTTTTTCAATACCACCTTTTGGTGGGGTTTAAAGCTTAATCCTGAACCCGTCCCGAATCGGATTAGTTGCGAAGCAATAAATTGATAGAAATATTTTCAAAAAAAATAAAATTGTGCCTTTAAGTTTTTTTTTTTTCAAAAAAAACCTCTAGCTGCAAACTAGAGTTAAATTGCTTGGTTGAACTTTTATTTATAATTATTGCATGACTTGGGTTAGAATTTAGAAATTTCTCGTTATTACGTAATATATAATTTCATTTTTTATTTTTTTTGGTAATCTATAATCTCATTTTTTAGAATAAGAGTTCAATTGCTATTAATTTATATATTTCAAATCGGTAATTGAACTTGAAGAATTTTTTATATTAAAATATTTTGGAAAATTATTTGGCAAATGCAGTTTCTTTCCGATTTGATTTGATTAACCCAAAATTATGTTCAGAATTTTTTATTTTTTATTTTTTATTTTTTTACTGAGGGAGTTGGGCTGTGTCTCTCTTCCGATAGTAGAGAGTAGAGACTGAAGCGGAACTTTGGTGAAATGTTTCACTAAGAAATAACTAATCAGGTGTCAACGACTCTTCTTCCCTCTCATTTACACCGTTGGAGAAACACTTCTATACTCACAACAACACACACATGTTTCTTGGTTGAGATTGGCACGCAAATTGCATAATATTCTCACAACCAAACTCCAATACTCCAATTGCATAATTATTTTGAGATTCCTGAAAATGCCTCCACCTCAAGCACCCATACCAACCACCAAACCCGACAAGTTTTACTTCTTCTACGGCCACCGCAAGCCCTCCCAGAACCGCCCAACCGTCCGCGGCGGCCTCTTCTCCAACCGCCAAACCCTTAACCCTAAACCCAAACCCAAAACCACCACCCCATACCAACCCTTTGACATTCACAAGTGGGACCCTCACTTCCTCCCCAACAACACAAATCCAAATCCAAATCCAAATTCAAATTCACATTCACCAGACACCTCATTCTCAATCTCCCAACGCCTATCCCCTATTGCCCGCTTCATCATCGATGCATTCCGCAAGAACCAATACAAGTGGGGCCCAACCGTCGTAACCGAACTCAATAAACTCCGCAGGGTCACGCCAAACCTCGTTGCCGAGGTTCTCAAAGTCCAAACGAATCCAACTCTCGCTTCCAGATTCTTCCACTGGGCCGGTAAGCAAAACGGTTATAACCATAATTTCGGCTCCTATAACGCCTTCGCTTACTGCCTCAACCGCCACAACCGCTTCCGCGCCGCCGATCAGCTCCCGGAGCTCATGGACTCGCAAGGGAAGCCGCCTAGCGAGAAGCAGTTCGAGATCTTGATCAGGATGCATTCCGATGCCAATAGAGGTCTTAGGGTTTATCATGTTTATGACAAGATGAAGAAAAAGTTTGGGGTTAAACCTAGGGTTTTTTTGTATAATAGGGTCATGGATGCATTGGTGAAAACTGGTCATTTGGATTTGGCATTGTCTGTTTATGGTGATTTTAGAGAGGATGGGTTGGTTGAGGAGGCTGTTACTTTTATGATCTTGATTAAGGGATTTTGTAAAGGTGGGAGGATTGATGAGATGTTGGAGATTTTGGGGAGAATGAGGGAGAATTTGTGTAAGCCGGATGTGTTCGCGTACACGGCTTTGGTGAAGATGCTTGTAGGGAATGGGAATTTGGATGGATGTTTGAGGATTTGGGAGGAAATGAAGAGAGATCGGGTTGAAGCTGATGTCATGGCATATGCTACTATGATCATAGGTTTGTGTAAAGGGGGAAGGGTTGAAGAGGGTTATGAGTTGTTCAAGGAGTTGAAGAATAAGGGTCATTTGATAGATAGAGCTATATATGGATCACTGGTTGAGGCGTTTGTGGCGGTGAAGAAGGTTGGGTCGGCTTTTGATTTGTTGAAGGATTTGGTGAACTCAGGATACAGGGCTGATTTGGGGATTTATAATTCCCTTATTGAAGGGTTGTGCAATTCGAATAAGGTTGAGAAGGCTTACAAGCTTCTCCAGGTTGCTATTCGGGAGGATCTTGAGCCGGACTTCTTATCAGTGAAACCATTGTTGGTGTCTTATGCTGAAGCAAACCAAATGGAAGAGTTTTGCAAGTTGCTTGAACAGATGAAGAAATTGGGTTTTCCAGTTATTGAGGATCTCTCCAAGTTCTTCTCCCTTTTTGTAGAGAGAAAGGGACCAATAACGGCATTAGAAGCATTTACACACTTGAAAGCAAAAGGTTATATTAGTGTTGAAATATACAATATTCTTATGGATTCTCTTCAGAAGATTGATGAGATGAAGAAAGCAATATTGCTCTTGGATGAAATAAATGGATCAAACTTGAAACCTGACTCATTTACATATAGTATAGCAATCTTATGCCTTGTTGATCTTGGTGAAATTCAGGAGGCATGTGTGTGTCACAATAAGATCATTGAGATGTCTTGCATTCCTTCTGTTGCTGCCTATAGTTGCCTTGCTAAAGGGCTTTGCAAAATTGGAGAGATTGATGCAGCCATGATGCTTGTTCGCGATTGCTTAGGCAATGTTACTAGTGGACCAATGGAGTTTAAGTATAGTCTTACCGTTATTCATGCATGTAAGTCAAATGATGCTGAGAAGGTGATTGATGTATTAAATGAGATGATGCAACAAGGCTGCCCTCCAGGAAATGTCGTATGTTCTGCAATCATCTCTGGCATGTGTAAGCATGGAACAATTGAAGAGGCCAGGAAGGTTTTCTCAAACTTGAGGGAGCGCAAATTCTTGACAGAATCGGAAACGATTGTGTATGACGAATTGCTAATTGATCACATGAAGAAAAAGACAGCAGACTTGGTGCTATCAGGATTGAAGTTCTTTGGTCTAGAATCTAAACTAAAATCAAAGGGTTTTAAGCTGTTGCCAAGTTGAAAATAGTTGCGAGGACTGATTGATCTCTTTTTCTTTCAACATGTTGAAACATGTATAATGAAGCAGAAAATCATTTGGGAGAGATCAACCATTTTAAGTTGCTTCTCGGGAATCTTCCTTCTGGTATCTGATATATTCAAACCATGGCTGTGAACACTAATATCTTACAAAGAATTAGACACATGTTGCAGGACGTTTTTGTATATCCTATAGCATTGGACTCTTGCAATATTGGTCATCAGTTCTGGGTCTCATAGATTGCATCCTTTAACAAAACAAAGTCACTCCAGAAAGGTCACCTGACATCAAACCATGGCAAAGCTCATACTTGCTTCATTCGCTGGGGGGTGCGGATTTTTGTTGTTCTTTGTAACTTCCTTTAATTTGATTATGAAGTGGGAGCCTGCAGACATGTTGGCATCTGAATTTTACTTTCTTCCCTGTTTGCAACATTCGTTTACAGTTATTCCTGCTGCTTTATAGAGTTATGACTTGCATGGGATATGTGATGTGGAAAGCTATAAGGGCTAAGTGCTAATCCAATGATTATATTCGATCTGAAGTTGGAAACAGTTGCATCATTCTGATTCCAAAGGATCTGGCATCCAAATATGAAATTTGAAAGATTTTATCCTTAGTTGATAGCTACTGTTTATCTGAAGAAGGACAAAAGATCAAGTGGTTTGTTGTACAACGGCAAGTGAAGGTTCATATTTAGAAATTTCCAATTCATTAGCTGTTTAGAAGGATAAAATACTGAGATGTTGGACAATGTTTATAACACTTGCCATCTTTCAGGTGGATGAAGATGAGCAGATTGAATAAACAGGCTCGTTTGGTGTTAGTATTTTAAAGTTCTGACTAAGGTGAGATTACAACTAGGTGTTGCCATCTTTGGGAAAGTAGGGAATTGGTGGGCCACTTGTTTTCTTCTCTTTTTTCCATGTGCTAAGGTGTGATAGGGTTGCATTGTTTGAATTGTTATGGGTATCTCTAGGAAAAGTCTTTAAATTGCAGACTCATGAAGTGGCTCCCTAGGGCTTGAAAGAATTTAGATTGAGTGGAAGGGTACCCGAAGTAATCTGATATACAGTACTCAAAGGAAAGGAGTACACTTGGATGCAAAACCTTCCATCTTTTCCAAGAGACACTTCTTAGAATTATTGAACTTGATGATTTTGGATTCTGATGGCATCTGTGTGTGCTTCTACTTTCATCCTCTTTTGGAGCCAGTATATCCCTATTACGCATGGGTATTGCCCCTTGGTACCTTGAAATGAAATTTTAATATGTATTGAAATTTAAACTATTTTAGTTTTATTTCTTAAATCCAGTAGTCGAACTGTGTTTCTATTTGTGTGGTTTCTAAGTTTCAAGGACTTTGTCATTTTTATTGATGAATATTCACATTATACTTGATTATTTTTAATCGAAAATAGGTTTGAGTTGTTTTCTATTTTTCAAAAAATTTATCATGAAATAAAAACTCAATTTGGTGTCCCAATCATTACTTTATGTAATGATAATACCCGTAAATACTTTATGCAATACCCGTAAATACATTATATTTATTATTATTTTTGAGCATCCAGGAATTTGCTAAACTTGACGGGGGGGGGGGGGGGTTGGGATTGATGGGGAAGTGTAGGTGAATATCTCATAATATCATGTTTGGTATAAGTTTACAAAAAATTTATTCAGTAAAATAAGTTGTGTAGGATTTATTATTTGTGTGTATTTTGTGATGAAAATTACTGTTTCAAAATGCCACTTCTAATGTGGTATTTTGGAATTATCGGCTAAGTGAAAAATATTTTAGGCAAGGGTTATTCTAATTCAAAAATTATGAGGGTTATTTCGTAATTTCAACTTATTTTTCAATCAATATTTTACCTTTAATTTAACCCAATTTTTCTAGTAATATTTCAGCTTATCAAATAACTATTTTTTAGCTTTTTTACCAAACTCACTTTTCTCTGATAACAAAAAAAATCTCCTCTACTAAACGTTGCCAGGCTTTCTTATCGTTTCTCTTCTCTTTTCTTTTTTTATTGATGAGTCTAGTTTATTGTATTTATTTTACCACCCGGGAGCAATGAGATATTAGTCATGAATTGTTTATAGCCAATGGTTGTAGAGATTTGTTGGTTTAGAGGATCTCAGCTCCTTACCCTGCTTTTAATTTCTTATTTTCTCATTGATGTGACTTATTGTATTTTTTTATTTTCTTCAGCCAAACACTATTTGAGAGCTCTTAGTGATTGGGGATTATTTATTAGCCTAAATCCATATTTTTTTTATTTTCCTTTTTTTCTTTGTAGATTTTATGCAATAAGATGTGTTTCTTCATTTGTTACAACTTATGTTAATTCGGTGGAAATTCTGGAACTTCAGTTTTAAGTGTGATTTTCTTCTGATTGTACCTATTGCTCGAGTGTATATGGTTGATCTTTATTTTATTTTATTTTATTTTATAGATTATGCCTGGTCTTTTAGATGCACAGCAACATTCAGCAATAGATGATTTTTAAATGAAATACCAATAAAAGTTATTTTTGTGGGGCGTTTGGTACAAGGTATTTTTTAAAATTTTCAGAAAATTGAATTTTTCTAAATTTTTAATTTTCGGATATTATCGTAAACTGAATGTTTTCATCATATTTCTGAAAATTGAGATTTTCGATAAAAAAAAATCTCCTACTAAACGCCCCCTTGATAATTAATGGTGCCTTTTTTCTTTTGCTCTTTGTGCTCAATATCATCTTGATTCTGCGTGATTTTTACTCTTCCCACCTAACGGAATACAAGGTTGTGCTGGAAAAATGAGTTGAGGCCTGCATCGATTGAATTGAAGTCACGATTAGATATTTTTAGGTTTGGTGGCATTATACCAAAGTTCACTTAATGAATTAAGAGGGAGGATATTCTGACTACCAAAAGTTTCTATTACCACTTTACTACCTATTTAATCACCATTGGATTAATATTTTCTCTCTCTTCAAAAACTTTTTAACATTCTCTCTCTTTGATCCAATGGTGATTTGATAGGTAGTAAGGTGGTAGTGGACACTTTTGGTAGTCAAAATATCCCCCCTCATGAATTAAAATGGCGTGTTTTAGATAGTTAAAAGCTTTCTTTATAACTACCTTGTAACAAGTAATATCGAAGTAAAATTGTTGACAATTCAAATCTAAGCACCATCCCCTAAACCCGAGTATATAAATATACGAAGTTCATGCCAAATTTAAAGGTAGGGGATGAATCTTTGTTTAGGGAACTCCAAAGGTTGTGGTTGCTCATAGGCTTGTTAAAATCAAGAGCATAGTGAAATTATTTATGTGAAAACTATGAAAATATAATATTTATATTTTCTTTTTATTGGAATATTTCTGAATAAATAGTGCTTCTGTAGAAATCAAATGCACCGTTACATTAGAAGCCCTTTGTAATGTTACATATTAGATTCATGTTACATGATGGCAAGATAAGCAATGCAACATGAACAGAGGGAAACTTGAAGAAAGACATCTTCCTTCTCCCTCCCTACGCATTCCTAAGTGCTGATCTATCTACAGCAGCAAGAACACCCTGGAAAAAATTTTAGAGGTACGTACGATGATATTTTAGGCTTCCCTTTTGGGCCTGTTGCGACGTGGAAGGGCAGGTTCATCTTGTAAATAAGTTTCCATATCATTGTCATCATCATCATCTTCATCTTCATCTTCATCGTCATCTTCATACTCGTCAGCTTCCATGATAGCTTCATTTATTGCCATCTGTTATTTGTAAAATATGTCACATTATCAGGAGAAAAAACTCCTTTCTAACCTAAAACCAATTTCCACATAACAAGAATTATCTCCAATTCAGTAAACTACTTATCAAAACAGAAGATAACTGACAAATATTGCTAAAAGGGATTTGTTCAAGAGTCTATAATTCCACATACAATTAAAATATATATATTCTTAAATGGGTGGAAAATTTTCTTAAACAGTCACTCAAATCAAGGTTGACATAGTAAGGTTGTAAAGGTCATGTTAAAATGCATGTCAGCAGCTATTTGAGTATTTAAAGTAAAGAATGCCTACCTAAGAATTTCTCCTGATATGTGCTAGGCCATTAACAAACAATTAATACACTAATAGAAGCTGAATCTGAGGCTGTTGTACAAATTTTAAATGCTGTGAAAGCGGCCATAAAAATTGAAAATGAAATGATTAAACAATCAAACTAAAGTAAACTTTCCTGTCATCATCTTTGAATAGAAACTGAAATCTGACTTATAAAAGTTGCGAGTCATGCCTCATAGCACTTTAGAGACTTTTAAGACATTGTTCCTTTCAATTTAACATCAGTGTTAACAGAGACACACGCACATGCCAAGGCAAAGGTCAACCAACTCAAAAGGCTTAACCTTAACTAACTTAGACAACAACCATAATAATTTAATAATATTCTCATATCAACAATTACTCCGTTTCCAAATGGAACAATAACGAACTAATGGAAATAGATTAGACTCTGCACTAAAATTTTGCGCTTAGAGCACACCGATGACTCCATTCAAATCTCACCATGAAAAACAGTGCACCCAAAATAGTACTTTGTCAGCTCCAAAAAACTTCATAATGCTATACTGGAAGTTTTACTTAGACAAAGGTTCCCTTAAATGATTTACTAAATCAAGTATCCCCAAAATGCATCCAAAGGTATGTCTAAATGATGAGTTAAAAAAAAAAAAAAAAAAACAGAAAAGAGAATGCTCTAATTATTTCTTTTTTTCTGCCGCAATAAAATATAGCAACCATTTTACCCAAAATTATTACAGTAACAAACTTTACACCTTACAATTCTACACTGCAGTAAGAACTCATTCTGAAAAATGTAATAATAACAATTATTATTATTGCAAGAAAAGTTTCTAAAGTTGGTTACTAACCATTTTGCAAAAAACCAAAACCAGTAAGAACATGATGCTCATTCAACAAGATGCTACACTACTGCTTTGTGAGTGAGTGCAATTGTGTAAACCAACCCAGTTGAAGATTTTTCTCAAATACATGGAAGACATGGCACAAAGTTCGAAATCTCAATCACCAACACAAAAACCGACATTATTCAAAAGAACCCATTAACAAAAGAGTAATTAGAGAGAGGTCTTCTGCCGTTACCTCCTCGAGATATTGTTGGTCGAGCTTTTCGGCGATTCGAATGGAGGTGAATGCTGTGATGGCAAGGAGAGAGAATGGGAGCGCGAAGGCGAAGACGTAGCTGCTGGTACTGGGGCCCGCACGTGTAACCACAGTCGAGACCCTCGGTTTCCGGCAGCCGGCGACGGAGAAGCGAAGTGCCGGAGTTCTAGATAATGGTGGGGCCCTGAAGGAAGCAAATGTAAAAGGATGAGACAATGGATTTGAGATGAGGAAAAAGGTAGCCATGGATGCTTTGGTCGTTTCCTTTTTTCTATGTTACTGTTGGTTGTCATGTTAACATTTTAAACCGAATTTTTATTTAAACTAAAGAGTAGATTTTTCTAATTTGTCTAAAGAAAATCTGGTATAGAAATAACGTAAAGAAAATTTACGTTTGCTCTCAAAATGATATTATTTTGAATTAAAAAATTTTAAAAATTATAATGAAAAAATTATTATAATCTTGAAATAAATTATAATTATAAAAATACCTTGATTTCCGTCTCAAAACGACGTCGGTTTGGGTTCAATGTAGATAAGTTATCTACATTGACCGTAAAAAAAGCGAACTCATAGAAATATTAGTTTATGAAAATAAAATTACTTTGACCCATAAAAATCATAAATATTAGTCATATTAATTATTTTTTTAGTAACAATATTAACTATTTTTTAAGATTAATATGTTCGGTGTTTAAAATAAGGAAAAAATGTGTATCATTTTAAAGGATTTAAAGTTGTGTCATTTTAAGTGAGAGATAGAAATAGATAAAGGAGGAGAGAGGGTGAACAAAAAAATATAAAAGTGTATGTCTCACTTCTTTGTGAGAGTGAAATGACATAAGTTATGTCATTTAAAATGACAAACATTTTTCCCTTAAACTAATATGATTCAACACTGATTTTTTTTTGTAGACAAAATGCAATGTTCGCACTTATAATTTAATTTTAGAGTAAAATACATTTTGGGTTCTCAACAAATATTACGGAGTCCATTTTAATCCCTTAAAAAAATCGACTTATGATCTCTCTGAAATTTAAAATAGACCCACTTAGTCGAAATTGTGGTCCTTCATAAATTTAAGAAAAACCTACATTAGTTCCTCAAAAGTACTAACATAGTTCTATTTTGAATTTCAAAAAAATCACAAGTCGATTTTTTTCTCTAAGGGATTAAAATGAGCCCCATGATTTTTATTGAGGACCTAGAAAATACTTTGTTCTTAATTTTAATATTCAATCGAGGTGATATTCTATCTTTTTTTGCCTTTTTCTTTTGGATAAATCACATATATTCTTTGCGGAGGTAATCCTATTCGAGCCGAAATATTCACATCATAATGAGACTAGCTCTTTCAAAAATAATTTTTTACATTCACAAAAACTTTAACTTAAAATCTTACTTAAGGAGAATCAAGTATCTATCATTTGAACCAACTCCCTTTCGTATTCTTTGCCTTTAATAAAATCTTTGCAAGAAGCAAATGGGTTTAATGGGTTGATGGTGTTTAGACTCTAAGCCGTAAAATAAAAGAAATTATAGATAGATATATTAAATCCTTTAATGTCTCTCATATTGAAGGAGATAAAATTATTTCTTATTCATATATAAAAATATATAAAATTCATATATTCTTTTTCTCTATCTTTTTTTTATATAATTCCACATGGATTCTACATATTTTTTTATGTGTATAAAAAATAAAATTATTTCTTAGAATGTGAAAAACATCAAACCCTTTAAACTGGCCGGTGGAATGATCCGTTTACAATTTTTTTTTACAAATTTTTACAAATTATACTATCTTCTCCCAGAAGAAACTATAATCTAATGTTCTTCCAGAAAAAGATAGTGTAGTTTATAAAAATTTATAAACAAATTTTTTATAAATATGACATACCCCTTATAACAAGGTGAACTTGTTTGACAAGACCCGACAAAATAACAAGCAATTCAAGTTATTAAAAGTTGAGTCTTAACTATCGACTAGTATCAATATCAATACATTTATAAATGAAAAGATTAAATCTTTACTATACTATCAACTATTATTTATAACGTTGTTAATATCCTTAGAGATGTATGTGCTAATTAATGATAATAAGCTTTGTTTCCGGTTCTCGTGGACCTCGGAAAAATGCAACATATTGATAACTCTTTTTCAGTTAAACCATATGACCCAGCTATAACATTAAAAAAAAAGAAAAAAAAGAAAAGAAGACCAATTGTCAAACACAGCTGTGACAGGATCAACAATACGGTTCTGACTTCTTATAATATGACTACGAATATTACTAGCACTAGGGAAACAAGAAATACTCCACACTCACCAATAGCATGTCATGGTTGGCTAATAACTTTACATATGCTTCGACATAATTGAATATATGATACAAAAAAAATAATTGAAATGAGTGTGATCAAATCCTACTATCCTAGTCACAATTTTAGTTCTGGATGTGAAAAGGCATAAAAAAGAATTACACACAAGGTGGCACATAGTTTTCTGTACAGAAAAAATGGCTGAAACAAGATATCAAACTATTTTCATCAAGGGCCATCCAACCCCAAAACAAGTCACTGACCACAAATATGTGGCACTTGGACAGCAATCAAGCATCAAATATATTTAAAGCTTAGATCACCAGAAAAAGCACCCAACTTGCTCTTCTAAAGATTCTTCCACTGCTGCATATCACAGGACAAACGAAATGCTAAAATGGGAGGAGGAAGGAAGGTTGCTCTGAGATTCATCAAGAGTGTGAATTGAGGTTATTATCATCTACTCCTGGTGGAGACAGTGGTGGTACAGCCACTTCATGAAATGCAGCAGATTCAATATCCAAAACTTTCCTTATGGTTGCTTGAGATTCTTTGGTTCTTCCAATCTTTCTGGAAGGGAGGGATACAGAGGCAACAGCTCTTGTTGAGTTACTACCATTAATTGACAGCAAAAAAATTTCTTTGGAAAGTGTTGGGGCAGATGCAATGACAGAACTGAAGACTCCAGATTCCCTCAAACTTTGTATTATGACCTGAACAAATGTACATGAGGAAATGAGTTTGAAACTATAAAAAAAAAAAAAAAAAAATCCATTCAAAAGGATAAAAAGAATAAAAAAATGTCGAAGTAGTTCTACAATCTAGAAAGAAGTTCTCACTTGATCTATCTCTAATACGCTGAGTCATTGCTCTATCTAAGTGACTCATTTTGAAAAGTTTGGCAAGGGAGCAAAAGACACACAGTATAATTAAATCACTTGCCCAAATGTTTTTCCCACAACCCACCAGGACAAATTTTAGCCAACTTTCTCTTCATGTTACGTGTGAGTATCTTGTCTATTTCCATACCATTTTCTTTATTATATCCTTTCCTTATCTATGATTTTTCACATTTCAGCTGAAGAATTTGGACTCTAATAAGGACCCCTTTGCATTACTGGGTGGTATGAGACTGACCTAGGTCCATAGACCAGCTTGAAGGTCTAGAAAGATCGAAAGCCTTCAACGCTGCGTTGTTTGCTTAGGATGTGCACCAAGGAGAAGCTAGATGAAGGTCAATGGGCTATGAGAAAGGTCGAAGACTTCCAAGAGCTGTCTACCAAGATTTTGCTTTAGGGGGAATATCAGTTGTCTATGTTTGCAGATTGAGATGGATTGTGAATATTTTTCGGAAGATTGGCGTTTCTTTATTTTCTGTTTGTGGGTTGTAACAAGCACAAGCTACTTGAGCGGGAGTGCTAAGATATTAGGGTTATTGTTAGTGAGCTTGGACTTGCACTAGTAATACCAGTATTTGACCTAATTATCAGCATAAATAGGGGTATTAGGTTAGGGTATTGTATCATTTTACGTCCTATCACTAATATTTTCAGTTTACTACCATTAGCAATATTTCACTTTTTTCTCTTCTGTAACCCTGAACTTATAATTCTTAACACTCACCATAGGAGCATATATGCGAGTCAATATTCCCTTCCTCAACAGTTTAATCTTCAGGTCTTTATCACCCCACACAACATGCTCATGATACCTGGAACAAAGATCAATATATAATGGTTAAAACACGGGGCAGATAGACCATAAATGTATATGAAGAATTGAAGCCAACATACCACTTCATCATTTCATCTTCAGTCGCAGTTGAAGCAATGATGAATGCCTGAAATTGATGAAGTCTACTTGATAAGTGCTTATGAGAAAAAATATTTTTTAAAAAGGAGTTAACACTTTACTTCCACACCAGAAAATAGAAAAAGGATAGCTCAGTGCATGAAGCTCCAAACAGTGTTGGATCTGAAGATGGTCGGCTGTAGAAAGCCTTACTCCATGAGCAGGAAGGCTATTTCTACAACTAGAACCCGTGACCACCAGGTCACAAGGCATCAACCTTGCCATTATACAAGTCTCATACTAGAAAAAATAACTTCTAAAAAAATCCACTTAGAAACAACCAAGCTTTAGTAAAATAACTATATACCAGCAAAACAAATCCTGTTTTCTGCTACGCAATCAAAGTGGATCATTGAATAGGACAGAAGGTGAAAGAATAAGAAAAAAATTCCTGAAACTCACAGATCTGTCAAATTCCAACATGAAGCATCTTTTGACGTCTTCTTTTGTAGGTTTGCAACCACATCGATCACGTCTAGAAGTTAAGTCTGAGAATTTGGCGTATGTGTAATGTAAAACAGCAGCCTCTTCCAATTTGATTTCACTAGCATAATTCAGAAGAACCATCATGGCACTAATTAAAAAGTCAAGGGATACAAATATGTTTTATGAAATAATACTATACTTTGGAGTTTTCATATAATTATGCCATCTGTGTGCACCATTAGGCCGAAGATGATCTTGTATCCTGGCAACTGATTTTCCATTTCCATAAGTCAGGAAGTAGTTTGGATTGCCACGTACAGAATCTTTATACATGCCAAAGTATGTATCTTTTGGAAGATGATCATAATTCTTCTTAAACATTGATACCTGCTTTGACAGATAAGGAGAAAAGAGAACAATCAACGTCAAAACATGCAAACATCAAATCAGAACAGAACCACAGAAAAATCCTGCACACACATCTTGTAAATTCAGCCAAAACACAAACACATGCAACTGCATGTTATAAGAAAATCAAAGCATCCCACAAGGTTTTCAACCCCAAAATATAAACCTTGTTTGACTGAGGCAACCATGAAATAGAGAACACTGAAATACTCATTCTAGCATATAAAATATTTGCCAATACTTACAAAGGCAGACGAAACCCCTGCTCTTTCTTATCACACAATTGGATTAAAGAAACTCAAGTTCATTGCCTAAGAGATGTGCGAGCCTCCAAGACTCAATGCCAAGTTCACTCTGTAATGTGCTGATCACATATCCAGTTATTTACTTTGAGGGAAAAAAAATCGGGTTTGGTAGTTTTATTTTTAGTTAAACTTTTTCTAATATGTTCCAATGCCTGGTAATGCATCATCAATTCTTAATTTTTAGCTCCTTGTATCAATGTCTTTTTTGTTAACATTTTCAACGATTAAAAGCTTCTAAATAGTTCTCCATCTCACTCAACGAAGTCTCAAGTCAGCCAAAAAAACTCTTATATGATGCTCAATCCAGCAATAAATATTTGTCATTACAACATCTCAACCATTAAGTAATTGTTAACTCTAAAGTACACGGCCCTGAAGCACCAGTTTGGGTAATAAATCTCGAACTCTTAACTCATTCGCATGTACCTCAATTAAACCATAAAACTAGTATCGCATAGACAATAGAGCTTTTGAACATTACAGTCAAGAAACTAAAAGATAGGTACATATGTCATATTCTTTTTGTGATTCTTCATACTCAGATACTCACAAAAAAGTTCAGTAAAACCAGCATTGTCAACAAGATAAAGCAGATCAGATTTACTGATAAGAGAATCCATTGCTTTCTCTTAATGAAAGCATGCTTACTTGTGGACAACTAAAAATTCAGCACAGCTGGTTGAAGAAAAGAAACAGAATATTCAGGAGATTCACATATATATAATTAATGAGCCTGATATAATTACATCAATGACAAACTGTTTATTTCAGGTTCTCTGCAACTTAATAAGCTAAACACTTTTGGCAAGGATCATGTACAGCTTTCAACTCTTACCTCACTGAAAGGTTCTTTGATATCATCTCGCTCAACACTGCTCTCCTAAAAGACAAAGACATCAGCATTAGTTATAACATTAAAGCTAACAAAACAGCCATATCTTTTCCAGTTCCATGAGATATACATGAACCCTATGCAACTAAGGAGAATATGCAGATTCTACTCACATAGTTAGGAAATATGACCATATCAACATTTCCTGGAACATCAAGAAGCAACTGCCTTAAAGAATACTCCCGAGCACCAGCCGGGTGTATTAATTCATCAGTATCAAGATGAAGAATCCAGTCCATATCAGCATCCTGACATTTCAACATGCACAGCATTGTGTTGATCAACCAAATAGGCACCAACACATAATAATTAAAAAAACTGAGGAAAAAGAAATTGTACAACAAAACAGTTGTCATACCCTTGCCATAACAATAGCCATCTCCATATTGAGGGATTGCTTCACAAAAAGTTCATAATTGCATGGCTTATAAAAGAAACCTGCCAGCCATGTCTCGTTCCAAATACGGCTGATGCAACCAACCATATAAATAATTAGTATAACAAAACTATTTTTTGGAAACTGAAGAATTAGAACAACAATACCTACGTATCCTGAAGATAAGAGAGCTAAAGTATACTTCAATAATAAGTTAGCAGAACCCAAACAGTTAGTTAGTTAGTTAAAACAGTTAGATCGTTAGAGAGACCTAAAAGGATACGAACAGTATGAGGGAAATAACAGAGACCATTTTTGGTATTGCGAAAATAGGTTGGGAGGGAGAGCCAGGACTCGAATTTCCAAGGGTTAGGAGAGTTAATTCTCTGTATTCATTCTTTTTCATCTTCCCACTTGATTCTGCAATCACCTTGATTCAAAACTAGGGAGAATAGTGATATTCAATAAAAGTTATGTCTTTCTACCTGTTTTTTACTATTTTCTGGTCCATTTCCTATTAACTGGTATCAAAGTTCCAGATCTGGGAGCTGTGGATACTGAATTTTTAATATGATTCCAACATTTGAAGGAGTGGAGGCATATGGGAAGTTGATCAGCATGGAGCAGCACTTCAGTGCTGCATGAACACCAGAGGCTGAGAAGCTACCAATGCCTGTGAAGGCTCCAAGAGGTTGTGCTTTAAGCTGGTGGCTCTGGTGGAAATGACACAATCTAAATGCGACTTGGTGGACCTTCATGAAATGCATGATCAAACGGTTCCAACCGGAGTATGATTTAGGTCAACCATTCGGGGTATGGAAAAAGGAACAAGACTGTTGCAACCAAAGACAACCAAAGAGGGGAATCCCAAAGGGATCAACCAGTCTATATTCTGGATCAACAACTAAATGCGAAACAGTTCAATGGATTGGGGAGGGAGGTTGCGACAGGGAGATCATTTGGATACCTCCAGGTTCAAGGAGCACTTTTGTGGAGGAAGACCATCCTCTTTTCCCAAAACAAAACTGATATCTTTTATTTACCACCTATTATTTATATCCTGTTATTTCTCTCTCTCTCTCTAACTAGCTAACTGTTCTAACATGTTGTAAATAATATTGATTTAGTTATTATTTAGTTTATTGTTGTATTGGGCCAAGCCCTTTGTTGTATTGGGCCAAGGCCTTTAGGTTAAAAGTAGGTCACATATTCTATATAAATAGAGAATCCCTTGTACACATTATTTACAATTCTAAAATATATCAGAATACCCTTTTTCAAGTTGGTATCAGAGCTCTCGATCTTGAGGGCTCTGCTTCCGCGCCTACGAAACCCTTTTTTTGTTTTCCATCTCTCGCTGCCATCAGCCGCCACCGGAAAAATTTTCCAGGGACCTCTTGGACCGAGAGATCATTGCTTCTCTTTGTTTTTCTCTCATCTTCCTCAATAACAAGACCCCAAACTGAACCGTTCCACGTCACCTCCAAACAGAAGCGTTTTTCACTAACCAAGAACATTGTTCATCGCGATTGACCTTCTTTTTGGCGGCCATTCAACTCCGATCAGCCCCAGATAGGTTCGCAACCCTTGGACGACCTTCGCCTGAAAAGCCCAGCCCGATCGAACGTCAAACGCGCCTCCACGCGCCGCTTCTTTCCCTGCGCGTGAATCTCACGCGCCGCCAGCTTCACCGGCGCGTGACAGCGCGTGACGGTTGCTATTGGCTGCGGACCGGTGCAGTCTTGACCGACTCTCCAATCTCGTTCTGGATCTGTGCTCACCTCTTTGATCGGACCTCGTTTGGTAATTTTTCGTGATTTTTTGGCTTCTTAGTACTATTCCTTGAGTTGTTTTGCAGTATGGCCGCTTCCGACGGTGATTCAACTCTAAACTTATCTGAAAAAAATTCTACCTCATCTGTGGTGACCCCTCTTGGTCACAATGATCTTCCAAATCTACATCAGAGTTATCGATTTGACGGATCAAATTATTTGTCATGGTCTCAGTTCATTCGTACTACCATCAAGAGTCGCAATAAGATTGCTCATCTTGATGGCCCTGCTCCTGCTGCCACGGATCCCGATTTTGCTGTTTGGGATAATAAGGATTCTCTTATCATGACTTGGTTGTGGAATTCGATGACTCCTGAAGTGGGTCGTCATTGTATGTTCTTGTCTTCTGCTATGGAGATTTGGGAAACTGTCCGCTCCACTTATTCCTTGAAACAGGATATGGCTGCGCGCTATGAATTGCGCAATAAAATATTCACTACAAAACAAGATTCTTTATCCGTGACTGAGTACTATGGCACCTTGAAGGAGTTATGGACTGAACTTGATCAATTTCAGAGTTTGAAGATGAAATGTACTGCAGATGCTACTGCTTTAGCCAAGGAGGTAGAAAATGAGCGTATTTTTGATTTTCTTGCTGGTTTGAATTCCGAGTATGATCCTATTCGGGTTCAGATACTTGGCAAAGAAACTTTTCCATCCCTTTCTGCTGTTTTCAATACTGTTCGGGGAGAGGAGAATCGTCGGGGTGTTATGATGAACCCTGATAAATCTGTCATGTTATCATCAAAAGATGGTGCTGCTTCTAAACCCACTGATGGGTCTGCTATGATTTCAACAAAAAAAGATGGTTCTACTTACAGGAGTTCCTTTCCAAAATATTCTGATGGAGCATCTTCTAGACCTAAGAAAGATGATCGCTGGTGTTCTTATTGTAAAAGAACAGGTCATATCAAGGATCTATGCTATCGCCTCCATGGAAAACAAACTGTCTTAGAAAAGATGGCAAGGATGCGTGGTCAAGCGCATTTTACTTCTTCTGATATAGCTCCTACACCTAATGAGACCCAACCTGCATTTCGTCCAGATGAGTTGGAACGACTTCGAACCATACTTGATTCTCTGAGTAAGCCATCTGGTACTAGTGATTTGGCTATGACTGGTATGAGCTCCAAAATTTCTTCTTTTCTTACTTCATGTATTGATTTTAAACATTCTTGGGTTGTTGATTCTGGTGCTACTGATCATATGGCTTGTTGTGCTGACCCCTTTGTTTCTTATAACCCTACCATTGGCACTCATACGATAGCCGTAGCTGATGGCTCCCATACATCAGTTGCGGGTTCTGGTAACATAAAATTACAGCCTTCCTTACATCTCAAAGATGCTCTTCATGTCCCTAAACTTTCTACTAATCTTCTTTCTATTCATAAAATTACAAAAGATTTAAATTGCACTGTAACCTTCTTTCCTACTCACTGTGTTTTTCAGGATCTCGCCACAGGGAAGACGATTGGGGGTGCTAAAGAGCAAGGTGGGCTGTATTATCTGGTGTCACAATCTCCTGCAACTCATGTTAAGGATCACATCTTACTGTCACATGGCCAGTCAACTGCTGATTCTCTGATTTGGCTTCATCATAAGCGCTTGGGACATCCTCCATTTAGTTTACTCAAGTCTTTATTTCCGTCTTTGTTTTTGTCTAAGTCTGTTGAGTCTTATCATTGTGATGTTTGTGAGTTTGCTAAGCATCATCGTGTGTCTTTCCCTTCTAGTATTACTAAAAGTGTTGAACCTTTTGATCTTATTCATTCTGATGTTTGGGGTCCTTCTAAGGTCCCTCATTCTTCTGGAAATAAATGGTTTGTTTCTTTTATTGATGATTGCACTCGTGTAACTTGGGTTTACTTAATGCATGAAAAGTCTGAGGTACCAAAACTGTTCTTTCAATTTTATAAAATGATTGAGACTCAATTTTGTAAAAAAATCAAAAGACTAAGGACAGATAATGGTACTGAATATGTCAATCACTCTTTTTCCCAATTTATACAAAATCAAGGTATGATTCATGAACTTACATGTGTAGACACCCCTCAACAAAATGGGGTTGCTGAAAGGAAAAATCGTCACCTTCTTGAAGTTGCTCGTGCCTTATTGTTTCAAACACATGTACCCAAATGCTATTGGGGAGATGCCATTCTTACTGCAGCATTCTTGATCAATCGTCTACCCACTCAGGTTCTCGATCATGTAAGTCCTATTCACTCCATGACTTCTTCTTTTTCTTCTATTCCAACTTTGCAAAGTCTTCCTCCTCGAGTGTTTGGGTGTGTTGTCTTTGTTCATATTCATAAACAGCATCGCAGTAAGTTGGATCCTAGGGCTCTTAAATGTGTCTTCCTTGGAAATGCTCCTGATAAGAAGGGCTACAAGTGTTATCACCCTGGAAGTCGGAAATTTTTTGTTTCTATGGATGTTACATTTCAGGAATCTGAGTCCTTTTTCCAAGGTCCTCATCTTCAGGGGAAGAATGATTCACCAGAAGACTCATCACCTTCCTTCTTTGAAACTTCAGTGTCTACTCCTTCACCTGTGTCAGTGTCTCTTCCTCTTGTTCCTGTTCCTAATGTGTCTGTGACTGATCCTCCTATGACTGATACATCAAGTACACAAGAGATACGGAAGATTGCAACACCTGAATTGGTATATCAAAGAAGGAAACAGCCCGCATTGCCTCAACAGCAACCTCAATCGTCTGAACCACTGGTAAGTCTTGAATCTCATATTTCTGATCATGATACTTCTGATGACTTACCAATTACTACTGCTTCTGATGATTTACCCATTGCTTTAAGAAAAGGAAAAAGATCTTGTTCCAAGAAATCTTGTTCTTCCTGTCCCTCTTGTACTCAATACCCTATCTCCCATTTTGTTTCCTCTGCTAATCTTTCTGTGCAGCACAAAAACTTTGTTTCAGCACTAGATTCTACTTCAATCCCAAAATCAATACATGAAGCTTTGAGAGATGGGAATTGGGCTCAAGCCATGCAAGAGGAGATGAATGCGTTGGAGAAAAATAAAACATGGGAGGTTATTGATAGACCCAACGGAAAGAAAGCAGTAGGGTGCAGATGGGTTTATACCCTAAAATATAATTCTGATGGCACTCTTGAGAGATACAAGGCTCGATTAGTCGCCAAAGGTTACACTCAAACCTATGACATTGATTATGAAGAAACCTTTGCTCCAGTTGCAAAAATGAATACAGTGAGAATCTTGTTGTCCCTTGTTGCCCATTACAATTGGGATATAAATCAATTTGATGTGAAAAATGCTTTCCTCAATGGTGAGTTAGAAGAAGAAGTCTACATGGAAATCCCGCCTGGTTTTGATTCTGTGAAGGGGGAAAATAAAGTTTGTCGATTAAAAAAGGCCTTGTATGGATTGAAGCAGTCACCTCGTGCTTGGTTTGGGAGGTTTACTAAGGTTATGATGACCTTAGGATATAGACAGAGTCAAGGAGATTACACTCTTTTCTTTAAGCACTCCCAAAACGGGAAGCTTACTGTGCTCTTTGTATATGTTGATGATATTATTATCACAAGTAATGATTTTGTGGAGAGACAGATTCTGCAGACACGGCTTGCCTCTGAGTTCGAAGTCAAAGACCTTGGGAAACTGAGATATTTCCTAGGGATAGAAGTAGCTCATTCAAGCAAAGGAATTTTTATCAGCCAAAGGAAATATGTTCTTGATCTTCTCAAAGAAGCAGGAAAGCTCGGGTGTAAACCCTCTAATACTCTTATTGAGCAGAATCACAAGATGGGCTATGAAGAAGAGAGTCCTCCAGTTGATAAAGGACAATATCAACGGCTAGTTGGGAAATTGATATATCTGACCCATACTAGACCAGACCTAGCTTATGCTGTTAGTGTTGTCAGTCAGTTTATGCACAATCCAAAGGAAAAACACATGCAGGCTGTAGAGAGAATTCTTCAGTATCTCAAAGGTACTCCTGGTAAAGGATTGTTATTCCGACGTGATGGCAATCTATCTTTAGAAGTCTACACAGATGCTGATTATGCTGGATCCATGACTGACCGTCGTTCTACCACTGGTTATTGCATGTTTCTTTGCGGTAACTTGGTGACATGGAGAAGTAAGAAACAAGATGTGGTTGCCAGATCAAGTGCAGAAGCTGAATTTCGAGCTATGGCTCAAGGCATTTGTGAGTTACTGTGGCTGAAAATTGTACTTGATGATCTCAAAATAAAATGTGAGAGACCTATGAAGCTGCTATGTGATAATAAGTCCGCTATTTGTATAGCTCATAATCCAGTTCAACATGATCGGACTAAACATATTGAGGTCGACCGCCATTTCATCAAAGAGAAACTTGATAGCGGGTTGATTACCACTCCATACATTCCCACTGGGCGTCAATTAGCTGATCTATTAACAAAGGGGCTTCCTTCAGATAGATTTCAAGAACTTACTAGCAAGCTGGGAATGATAAATATCTATTCCTCAGCTTGAGGGGGAGTGTTGTAAATAATATTGATTTAGTTATTATTTAGTTTATTGTTGTATTGGGCCAAGCCCTTTGTTGTATTGGGCCAAGGCCTTTAGGTTAAAAGTAGGTCACATATTCTCTATAAATAGAGAATCCCTTGTACACATTATTTACAATTTTAAAATATATCAGAATACCCTTTTTCAAGTTAACATCTAACTAAATAACTACTTAACTGTTGGGGGTCTGCTAACATAATATAAACAGTATAACATGGACAAGGAAAAATAAATAAAGTTTTATGGCAATGAGCATGAACACAAACAATAAAAGAAGCATGAACTTGAATAATTAGAAGTGTCATCATGGAGGTACTGAAACATCAAACTGTTATGGTGAAAACCATCCTGCATATCTAAATGCAAATTGGGAAACTACATAGAACATTATTACCAATTTACCATTGCAAATTACAAAATCAATTCAAAGGATGAGAATCAGTAATAAAATGGTAAAATTAATTAACCTCTTAGCCTGTTGTTCTTCCAGCTCTCTTGTTCTATATATAACCTTTACACCCTAGTTAAATCACATAAACCAAATTAGAATAATATCATAAGGGAAGAGAAAGGAGGAAAGCAAAATAGATCAAAGGAATTGAATCCTGATTCCTGAGATGGATATAAGAATAAGTTTGTCTACTTACAGGAATTGATTGCAGGACCTTTGATACTTCAGGAGAAGCAGCCTTCCCCTCCACAAAAAGAAAAAAGTTTGTCACTCCAATTACTTTATGATAAAACATCCAAGGTAGAATCTGCTCAAGCCCTGCTGATGTGCTACTCGTAACACAAATCTACATATCAAGAAGAAAATGTGAACCAAATCAATACTAATACTTCCATAAAATCTGTAAAGATAAAGTAAATCAATACTAATACTTCCATAAAATCTGTAAAGATAAAGTAAATCAAGTTCTCATACTAAAATTGATGGAAAAAAAAAAAGGCTTTCTCTTGATAAAATAGCTTAAACATAAGAGCCCTAACTGTCAAACATATTTTTAGAAACAATCTTCATTTTTCACAGCGAAAATTACAATTAACAAAAATAAATCTGTACACTAACTCAATTTACAAACAACCCAACAAACGCAGATTCACATAAATCATACGCTAGTACTAACATAATTTACTAGAAATTCAACTCATCTTGGATTAAATCTTGAATTAAAATTCCTATAAGATCTCTAAAGATGTAAAAGGCTAGTGCTAATAAAATTGCCTGAAAATAAGAACAATAACACAGACATAATTTTAGAAACAACCTTCATTCTTCTCATTAAAAAAGAAGAAGTAATTAATCAGACCAATAAAATTTCTACACCAACCCATGAAACACACAGATCACATGACCTCACACACCAAAACTTGCATAATCTACTGAAAATCCACCTCAGCACGGATCAAATCTATAATCAAAACACCCACCAAGAAGAGAACCCTTTTGCTTCAAATGACAAATTAGCACACCCCAAATTTCCAATAAACAAAACCCAAAATTGAAACCAACCCATGTCAACAAATCAACGAAAGAACAAACCTTTGGCCTTAGACTAGCTCCATAGTCAAGCTTCCAGTTATGGTAGTAAGGGAAGGAAGGGGAAGAGGTGCGTCCAAGATTCACACAGTCAGAGGAAGAGGAATGGGAGAGAGGGGAAAGAGGAGAAGGGTCCATACCAGGGAAGTGATGGGAACCTGGAGGAGACAAAAGGGTGGTTGGATCGGTGATGCCACCACGCCATTGAAGGATGAATGCTATGGCTGCCAAGGACACAGGGAGAATAGTGAGAAGAAGGAGGATCTTTGAGGTGAAAGAATGTGAAGAAGAAGATGATGATGAAAAAGTAGAGGAAGAAGGGGTGGAGCGAAGAGGAGCATGGAGGTGGTGGTGGTGGTTGGTCACGGGCATGGTTGATGCAGTGGTTCACACCAAACCAAGTCACATACGCAAACAAACCTTGGGTGACTGTGTAAGAAGTAAACAAGGAACAAGGATGTCGAAGCTGCTTTACTTTATTTTTAATTTTTTTTCCGAGTATTTAAGTATAACAGAAAACAATTTTTTTTTTCTTTCTAATTTTTCTATCACATCTTTAATTTTTTTCATTAAGAATACTTAAAAGCTCAGATGAAGGGAACAAACGCAAATAAATCTCTTGGAGGCGTATTTTTTTTATCAGACAATTGTGATTTTCAGCAATATGATGAAAACATTCAATTTATAATAATATCTAAAAATTAAAAATTTAGAAATATTCAGTTTTCCGAAAATCTTAAAAACAATTTTGTACCAAACTCTTCTTTTTCTTACTACTTCTTGTATCAATTTTATTATTGTTGTGTCAAAATCAAATATAAAGTTCTCACTTGATATTATTTTATAATCAATGATCTGATTTTGATTCAATAATAACAAAATTGATAATAAAAGGTAATAATAAATATAATATATTTCAAAAAAAATTACAATAATTATGAGAACTAATTAATGTATAATTATTTCAAGTTAATTAATATTTTCAAATTTGAATGTTTCGCATGTCAATAAGTTGTGTCCCAAGGCCACTGTTCTAGATCTATAGCATGGGTCTCATGTTTTAGACAATAAGAACTCGGACTAATCCTAATCCGAATACGAATTAGCCTTATCCATAAAATAGTTTGAATTTTGCCCAAACTCTTATGCTCCAATGTGAACAATTTATATAAATAAAGAGTTAAACCTCATATAAGCATTCATTTTAAACCCTAACTTCCTTTATTGCCACTATATGCACAGGCACACATTTTAAGTAAAAAAAAAATTATTTATATCTCTATATTAAGTAAAAAATTTGTTTCTAAAGAAAATTTTAAATGCATTAAAAAATATAATAAAAAAAAAGTGTTATTTAATAGTCCCATTTGGGGCTCCATGAATATACATGTGCATGTTTTCCTTCTCTTTACCAATGCAGTTTCACTCATTTCTTCCATTTAACTGTGAATGATATAGTGTTGTAAGATTGTAAATAACATTGGGATACACTAAGGTAGGAGTGTCCAAGGCCTTATAAACTGCACACGCCCCCTCACACGAGAGCCCACTGGGCTTGAAGTGTGGACAATGCGACTCACCTACCTGTGCAAACAAAGAAATTTCACTTGAAAGAAAGTGGGGGGCGGCGAGGATCGAATGGCTCTGATACCATGTAACGAACCTTGGGATACACCACCCCAAAACTAGCTCGAAGGGTGGGAGTGTCTAATGCCTTATAAACTCCACATTAGTTGAACATACAACCAATGTGGGACTATATATCTCAACAAAGACTATTGTCATCATCGTAACCATCAATGTTGAAACTTAGCACTTTATGCATGTCCTGAATCACAGACTATGATGCATTTGACGAGCTTAGATTCTCATTGTTAGTTAACAAATGTTGAGCGATCTATAAGAAATGAATGAAACACATAATAATATGGAAAAAAAAAAAAAAAATCTTCAAAAATTTGTGACTGCAAGTGCAGTCACTTGTGGCAACGGAGGTTCGCGAGTGCATCACCCTTGTTGCCTTCAATCATTTTTTTTTTTGTGCATAGTAATCTGTAATCCTTTAGGGAATGTTTGGTAGAGAAAATATTTTTTTTCACTAGAGAAATGTAATGACTAGGAAAATATTGAGAAAATAAGTTTGATAGAAAAATGAGAAAAAAGTTGTTTGATAAGGTGAAAAATTACGGCGAAAATTGGTTTAAGTTTTGAAAGTCTATGTTTGGTAAAAAGTAAAATATTGATGGAATAATTGGTGTGAATTACGAAAATGGGCATGGAAATTTTGAAACTGAAAAAACAATGAACACTTTCACTCTGAGTCTCTTTGGGTCATTTTGGACATTATTTTCTGCTCATTCTTTTGTTCCCCATTCAACCACAAATTACCACCTTCCATGTGGGTTTCCAACACAGTGCAGCTATAGCTATTTTTCACAAAATTTTCGTTGCCTGGGTACTCAATTTTGCTAAGAGATTTTTTGTAAATCTTCTACCAAACGCTGGCAGCTTCAAATCCCTATCCCATTTGCCTTGCTATTTGAGAAAAAAACTGCTACCAAACGCTTCCTTACTATTGTCTCTTCTATAGACTCTATTAACTTACATATACAACATTAATTATGACTTTCTCGGATTAAACAGTCACCTCTCTTGAATGACATAGTGTGGCACCCCTTCCTTGCCATTTTTCGCTTGGTGATCACTATATACTCTTATAACAGATCCACCAATGTACAACAACACCTTGACACTTTCAACACTATCACGTCACGTTGATGTCAAGTCACTTGTATGAAATTCAATGTAAAGCTTTTGGAGACTACCATAGGCATTTGGTTCTTATCTTTACCCGCCCGCTTGATGGCTATGATGCATGGATACGTGACACCACATGACACACCGACATGTTAATTCTAAAAAATATTATATTTTGATACGTTGAGACACGTTTTGATATTAAATAAAATTTTTAATATATATAATATAATTTATATTTAATACATATAAGAGTCCATAATAAGTCATATAATCAATCAAATATTTAAATTTCATAATATAAATATAAATATAAATAATTTTTTCGTACTTTGTTAATTTTTCATGTCAAATTTTATAACAAAAAAATTAATTTATAAATTATTTTTTTTATATTTAGTTAACAAAATAAAATTAAGATTTAAAAAAAAAAAAAAAAACGTGTCCGAACTTTAACCGCGTGTCAGAAAAAGTTGACTGCGTGTTAGAAAAACGTGTCGGAACGTGTCTGAGAGTTGACTGCGTGTCCCCAAATATTGACCGCGTGTCAGACGCGTGTCCGAGCGTGTTCGTGTCGAATACGTGTCTGACAAGCAAATTTTCAGAAAAAGACCATGTCTGTGCTATATTTCTTGATGGTATAACTAATATTTTGTATTCTGATGAGGATCCTTATTTTACTTTGAATTTGGGTCTATGAATAGTTACCGTTAAAATTTTCTAATTTCTATTTATATTTTCTTAAAAAATATGTGACTTGTAAAGAGTGACACTAAGACAAATATAATATAAACAAACTGAACTTAACTTACATCGGGTGAATCAACATAAATCGGCATTGTCAATATTCTCTCACCCTTTTTTCTTCTTTTCTATTTTGCAATTCATATTTGTGTGTGCGTCGAATTAACAGCGCAGTTTCTAATGCACTTTTCCACTAATAGGGGAAAGGAAATCGTTGAAGGAATGAATATATGGGTCATTTGAATAGAGATGCCATTTAGATTCGAAACCTCGGCCCGCCATAACAAGCTTAAGGCCCAGCTTATTTGCTTTAGCTCAGTTTGACCTGAATGAGCACTGGGCCCAATCCATTAAGAAACGAAACGATTTCCTTTTGTCATTAACAAACTTTATTTCCTTTTTCTTTTTCAGGTTTGAACTTTATTTTTTTCCGTTACAGTTAACTAAGTCGTTGTCTCTTCTCTCTATATAAAGGACTTTGCTTTTGGAAGTTAAATACACTCAGAATCCTTGTTGGAAACTGGTTGTCTTTGATTTGATTAATCTCGTTAGACGTTTTCAACTGTTTGTGTTATTAATGCAATTTCCTTTTCATTTAGAATTTTTTTTCTTTTGTTAATGTTATCTTCTAATCTATTGTGCTATGCGGGAACGTGTGTCGTTATTCCTATATCTTTATTATCTCTATTTCTACTTATATAATATTTATTTAATTGTTCTAAAATTCTTTTTTTTTTCTTAATCAAACTAATTGTCTAAAATATTTTTTAATTATCACTCCTATTTTATTTACATTTCTTACTTTAATTCAAGTTAATTTAAAAATATTTTAGTTTGTTTAATATCACTCTTATTATTAATGTGGCTATCAAATATTTTATCCATTTACAATTCACTGACTTAATGTAATTGATTAAACCTTAAGTAGTAAATTGCTTTTCTCGAAGTTATCTAACTCTATACATACCTAAATAATATAAAAGTCAATAATAATGAACAATAATCAAGATGAACTAACAAACCACAATATAAAATTTGCATGCCTAAATTTTTACCGTTTTTTTTTATCAAGAAAATATTCAATAAACCCATGTCAATAAATTTTTTGGCATCAAACCTTTTTTTTTTGTACATTATCACTGTTTTTAATAAAAAAATAAATATCATAAACCATAAACCTTAAATGTTAACTTGTTAGGTAATTTTATGTGTTAAAGTTATCCAGAATTATTCTCTTGAATTCAAAATTTTGTTAATAAAAATTTACTAAACTTATTTATTTCCTTTCATATGATTTCTATAAAATATTAACACACGAAAATATAAAAGAATATCATATCTTAAGAAATCATAAATGATCTGGATATTAATATTAGCCCAGTATATAAAGTCAACACTCAAAAGTCTTCTTCTTTAAACAAAGACTGCAGTCAATAAAGACTACAACATCTTCTCTATCTTAAGCCTATCTCATCAAGCTCCTAAGTGTTAAATGTTACAGCTATATTACTTCATCACTAAGACACCACTACAAACAACTACCCACAAGAACTAATGACAAAGACTTGCTGCCTCATCTCCTAAAGATCTTGTTCCTTTAAAAATCCATGGATTAAAGCTGCTCCAACTGCAAGCTCGTCTGACTCAAGGTGGTTCCAAACCATTTATGTAGAAAAAAATCACATGGTCAGCCCAAATGTAAAAATGGTTCTGATCAATAAATATTTTTTAAAAAGATAGATTGCAAAAAGTAAGAGTAATATAATAATTACTAGTCTAATATCAGTTACAAATATTTTTGAAACTTATTAAATGAGTAACATTTTTTTAATAGTAGACTATAAATTGGATTCTAAAGTAAGGGACATTTTAAAAATACTAAATAAAAATTAATTAAATAGAAAATGACATAAACCCAAAAGAGTTTGATAAACACTCCCGAGTTTTGCTTCAAGAATTGTTTCCCTAAAATGTTGTTCGTATCATTGAGATTAGGCCTTGATAGACAAAGCTAACTAAACCCTGCTTGGTTAATCTATTTTTGATTAGACAAACATCTTTTTCATTCAATGGTTCAATAATGAGAAGTCATTTAAAAGTAAACTATAATGTGACAAAGTCTCTGCATTTGGCTTTCAAATAACCGACCAAAACCTATCTTCTCTCTCTTTATTAAAAGATGAGATGACAATGTATTATTACAGTTCCTCTCATTGGGTCCTTTTACAGCTGTCTTCACTCTTTATAACCCAATTTTTCTTTGTTTTCTTCCGCACATTCTGTGCCCATTTGCACATTAGGTGTCACACACACATTCAATTATGCACATGTCCCTACCAATGTCTCCTTATACTTGTTTGACATTGTAAAACTGTGTGTTCCAATATATTCTAGTGCCAAAAGTTATTTGGTTATATATGCACAATTGTTGATGTGACAGCTTTGCACATATGACATATCTAACTGTTACCTACCTATGCAGAATTATGAGCTCAAGTGTGCAATAGCATTTTAAGTTCCCACCTAAAAAATAACAAATCCTCCTATACAAGGTTTCTGACAAAAGAGGTTTCCGACGTTAGATTATATGCAATTTTATTCTTATAATTTTATAAAAAATATTTTTAAAATTTGAATTCGTGATTTTATAATCACATGAAACAATTTTATTGTTATTCCAAAATATATATATATATATATATATATATATATATATATATATATAAATAAAGAGTTATCATTTTTCAAATTGCAAAATATCAAGCTTAAAATCACAATTATACATGGGTAAGTAAAAATATTAAATACGAGAAATAAATGAGAATCAATGACATTCAGCAATTTGAAAAATAATTTCAATATATATATATATATATATATATATATATATAAGAAATAATTATATTATGTAATAGAAACAAGGTAGTGGGGTCCACTATTTTTTAGAAAAAAAGAAAAGATAGTAGACCACACTATCTTATCTTTATTGCATAAGATAATTATCTTATGCATCATAAGATAAATAGACTCATATATATATATATATATATATATAAGAAAAATATTTTTTAAGCTGCTTGAGATATATTTATCTCCGATCAGCCCAAAACTACGTCATTTTATTTATTTATTTTCTTATATTAATTGATTCATCTTTGAATGGTTATAATTCCTTTTTTCTCTCTTTTCATTTATCACCATTGATCCATCTTTGAACGGTTATGATTTAGCGGCCGGAGATAAAGTTATCTCAAGCAACTTGAGAAATGATAAGCCATATATATATATATATATGGCTTATCATTTCTCAAGCTGCTGGAGATAAAGTTATCTCCAGCTACTAAATCATAACCGTACAAAGATAGATCAATGGTGATAAAGGAAGAGAGAGAAAAGGGAAATCATAACCATTCAAAGGTGAATCAATACATATAAGGAAATAAATAATCAAAACGACGTAGTTTTGGGGTGGCCGGAGATAAATTTTTCTCAAACAGCTTGAAAAATGTTTTTTTCTATATATATATATATATATATATATATATATATATATATACGAGACATGTTATATTTACAAACCTTTTTGTTTACAAACTCTTACAAACTACACTATCTTCTCCCGGGAGAAGACAGTGTAATTTGTAAAAATTTGTTCAAAAAGTTTGTAAACGGATCCTTTCCCTATATATATATATATATATATATATATATATATATATATAATAGGTTATTCTATCTACTTTTTTTATTTATATTTGTCTACTACTCTCTAACACTATAAACCATAATCTCAACTACTTTTATCATTTTTCTCTCCTATTGAGATTCTGATCTAATGGTGTTGGAGAGTGATAGGCAAAAAAATGTAGGTAGAATAATCTACCCCTATATATAAATAAGATTAATATCAAAATTGAAAATATAACTAACACCTTGTGATTGATCTATGTCATACTCTATTCTTGTAAGATGATACACACTAGCTACTAGTCTTCTCGGTGCTACATCATAGACACATTGGGAACGTAGATAAATGTAACCATATATATGCAAACCAAACTTCTTCTCAGAGAAGGATAGATGTGACGATTCAGGTTAGATCATATGTAGATCCAACTTTCTATTCACATGTGGATTTCAGGCGGTCCGGGGGACCATTATGACTTCTCTCTTCTCGAGAATTCGGTCTTATTCCCTTTTCGTCTTAAACCTTGGGATTGATCCAATCTACAATCCGCGGAAATGGGAAAAAAAATTCAATGAATTTTTGTTTTGTTTTTTAACAATATTTTTTAGTGGGAAGTAGAATTGCCTTTTCTGAATATCTCCAAAATCGACTTTCATTTTTTTATTATAATTTTAAAGAACTCAAATGAATTTGTTTCTAGTTTTAAATGAAAGAACAAAATTGTTTGACCTTGCCTTTTGCTTGTTATTCTAGAGATCGACTTTCATTTTTTTATCCTATTTTTAAAGAACTCGATAGAAAGATGAAAAAATTGAAAATTAATTTTTCTCTAGTTTTAAATGAAAGAACAAAATTGTTTGACTATATATATATATATAAGAAATTTGACTTTTGGGGTAATGCCGTATGAAATCAAAGCTGGAGCAAGGAAATGCCATACTCTTAGGTCTGTGTTTCAAATGGCAGATAGTAGTTGCTATCCATATTAGACATAGACCACAGGAGATAAATCCTGACCGTTCATGAGCAAATTGACAAAAGGGGCGTACAGGTAAAGCTGTTCTTTTAGGATTAAAAGGTTATGGGTCAAATTCAGAAACAGTCTATTGTAATTATATAAGGGTAAGACTGCATACAAGAATTATTTTCACCCACACTCGCTATTCAGATTTAGCGTATAGTGATTTTTTTTTTTTTGGTTTTTTAGTTCATGAGCAAATTGACAATCCTATTATTATAAATGAAGGGCCGGTATTCATTGCTATGTTTGCTATTTATTGATTAAATTACTGTCCAGTGGAGGATGTTTTTGTCATTTCAGACCCAACAGAGGTATGAACATGCCTGCAAATGAGAGATGGGGAAAAGAAAAAAAAATGAGATGAGGACCCATGAAGCTGAGAGCAATTGGTCATTGTTTATTTCATAGTCCTTTCTTAATGAAAACAACATGGATCTGTTTCTTTATCTTGAAGGCCCACACTTTGAACAGATAAAGCTCATCATGCATGAGGAAGATGAAAAATGTGAATGATTGTTGTAGCACCCATATAAAAATCTCATTCACTTCACAAAAAGTTGAGCCAAAAAAATATATTGATACCTGTGCACATTATGAAATCTATCCAAAGTTCCGCATTGTTGGGTATTTGATACTATAATAAAGAATGTTTTCTGATTTCAAAGCTATTCCTTCTGAATTTAATGATAGCATAGTGCTTTTTTTCCAAGCAACTAGTTCTTTTATATAGTGATTCACTGATTCTTGTCTTTTTTAAAGATTTTATGGCATTTCATAAGATGGGTAACTATCAACTGTGATGTTAGATCTCATTCAATCTACATCACTTTTTTTTTTCAACTCTCTTGATTTGTGTGCCTTAAAGTTACTCTGAAAGCAAAGTTCTGATAAATGTGCATGTTTTTGGTCTTTGCAACGACTACTAACTAGAGCCTATAAGAAGCTAATTCTATGACAAGTTCTGCAAATTGTTCCTTCTTTTTTGGACAAGTCTAATGTTTGGGTTTGCACAACTCCATTACTTAAATGCCTATTTGCAAACCAATTGTACCTTTCACCATCTACTTATTCACACTAACCTCAATCAAAAACCAAGAATATATCTGTTGTGTATGAGAGGATTCCTATGGACATTTTTTCAGATCAAAGAAATTGAAGTTGGTCAATGTGATATTGTTAAATGGCCAAGAAGGGTTGGTTTAGTATGTTAAAGAAGCTCTTCATATGGGAAACACATTCCTCACAAGAGAAGGTAAATGTTTTGCTTCTTTAACAAATTCTTTAAGTAAGATTATGCTTCTCATGAAACAAAAACTTGTATTCAGAAGGAGAAAAGAAGGAAATGGATATTTGGGAGGCAGAAGACAAAGAGATTGCCTCCAATTAAAGCCTCATCGCCATCAAAAGAAGAAAGACTAAGGGAAGCTGAGGAAGAACACAGCAAGCATGCTTTAACAGTGGCCATTGCTTCAGCTGCTGCTGCTGAAGCTGCTATTGCAGCTGCTCAAGTTGCTGTTCAGGTTGTTAGGCTCCAATCTTCCCATCAACATAAAGAAAAACCAGAAGAATTTCAACCTGTTAAAACTAGGCATGATGCTTCTCAATCCACATACCAATTGCAGAGAAAGATTGAAGAGTCTTCAGCCATCAAAATTCAAACAGCATTTAGAGGTTACCTAGTGAGTTTTCCCAAACTCTCATTTTTTATATATATCAGCTCAAATCCTTTTTCAACCATGTTCACCTTTTTCTGCTAAGTGCTCAAAAGGGTTCAGCTAAATTTGAGAAACACAATATAATTAGTAATACACTAACTCAAGGTGAACTAAGTATCATATACTGAAACTTGTTAGAAAATAAGCTATCACTAATTTAGTATATATCTTCAACCAATTAGTGATTTCCCCAGCATGGTTAAGGTAACTTGGGAACAGAAAATAGATTTTTATATCTCAAATTTCACAAGTTTAACCCCAAAGAGAGGAAAATAAATAAGGAAAATTGGGGAGAAAAGTCATGGTTGATGAAATTAAGAAACTGAAGTCACCTAAATAAATTCTCACACTTTGTATCCTCTTATTCACTGACTGGTAAGACATTGCAGGCAAGGAAAGCTTTGAAGGCATTGAAGGGAATAGTGAAGCTTCAAGCTATCATTCGTGGCAGAGCTGTGAGACGCCAAGCTATGAGTACTCTGAAGTGCTTGCAGTCCATTGTAAGTATCCAATCACATGTCATTGCAAGGAGACTCCAAATGGTTGAAGAAAGATGGGATTGTGGTGAAAATGAAGATTTGCAAGGTTCAAGAGACAAGATAATAAGGGTGAGCATAACAATTTGCCGTTGATCATTATCTCTCATCACATAACAAAAACAAAGATTCACTACCAAAACCATAATCTACTTTTTTATCATTATCAACTACATTTTACTTAACCTGTAGAATTTGAAACATAGTTACAAATTTTTCAGATCGACACAAACAGTGAGAATAGGTGGGATGATAGCATTTTATTGAAGGAAGAGGTAGATGCCTCTATCATAAGCAAGAAAGAAGCTATTCTCAAAGGAGAAAGAATAAAAGAATACTCATTCAACCATAGAGTAAGCTCCAAAACCTGTTTTTCTCTTTGTATTTTTCACACATTAAGGTTCTCATAGTAACTTTTACAAAAACCTCTCAGAGATCAGCTGAATCAGAAAGAAACAAAATAAATGGAAGATGGAAGTACTGGATGGAGCAGTGGATAGACACCCAACTTTCTAAGAGTAAAGAACTTGAAGATTTAGACTCAGTTTTCAGCTCACATTCTAGAACTAGAGAGGAATGTGGAAGAATGAAACTTAAGCTTAGAAATATTCAGAGACAAAATCAGGTTGAAGGGTTAGACTCTCCAAAACTTGCTTCAAGGAACTATTTTCCTCATAGGAGGCAGAGTTCACAGGGAGGAGAAGATGACAACTCATTTCCAAGCTCACCTGCAATTCCTACATACATGGCTGCAACAAAATCAACACAAGCAAAAGTAAGATCAACAATGTCCCCAAAATTAAGGACAGGAGGAAATTGGGACATAAATTCTGATAGTTACTCACCATGCAAGAAAAAGCTATCTATTGTAACTTCTATTAATAGTGAATTGCTCAATAGTGGTAGGATGGGGAAGCTAAGTAATAATCAGCAAAGATCTCCTTCCTTAAAGGGTCTTTCAAAGCCTACCAAACTCAAGCTAGACAATGAAGGTTCTCTCAGCATTAATTCAAACTACTCAGTGCCAAATTGAGATCTCAACAATGTTCATTAAAATGAAGTTATAGATACTGATGCTGCTTTCATTAGCATAGTCCATTGCACCCATGAGAGGGCTTGAAGTGGGAAAATTGTTTGTGTGATTATGTGCTGAGTAAAAATTATTCTTTCTGGTTGAGAATTGGACATTAATGTGACAGAAAGTTGTTAATTTCTTCACTAGTTAGTTGATTACTTTTGAGTGCTCTAAACCACATTTTACGGTGTTGTACATAATTGTCCTGGACTAGTAACCTAGCCAATAGCAGAGCGGGAAAATAATTTTAGCCTGTGCCAAGGCTATACCATTTTTTAAAATTAGCCGGTGCCAAGGTTATACTATTTTTGAAAAATCATCCAGTGCCAAGACTGTACCATAATATTTAAAGAAAATCTATGCCATTTTTTAAAATCAGCTAGTGCCTTGCTAGTCTCCAAATGGCTCCGCCACTGAACCTAGCTAAAGGCTAAAAAAAATTACCCCTATATGGTGACATGGTTATCCTAAAATTTGGTTGCAGAATAATCATATGAAAAATAATCATATCTTTATATTAGATAAAGAAGAACATGATATTCAACCAAATACAAAAGAGCATGATAAATTAAGTGACCAGATGACCTTTTTTTTTTTTTTTTTCAATTGGGTCAAGGGAGACTAGGTTGAAGTGTGAATGGACAATTGGGCCGACTAAGATTTATATGGGCTCTTGTTTCAAATTTTAACTTTTAAATGAAATTTTGGATTGAATTTTTTGTTAATTAATTAAAAAAATTAGCAAAGGAATCAGTATATTTTTCTGGATGGAAAAAATTGGGTGCTAATAACAGACGAAGACATCAAACTAAGTTAGAGTTTCTAAAAAATGGATCTCCAAAAGAGCAATAGGATTTGTTTAATTTGTTAAAGAATAAGAGACGACACAATACAAAATAAATTACACTTTGTTTAATTTTTTAAATAGTGGACAAAAGTATCTCTAGGAGCAACTCATAATTTTAAAATTTTTACCCCACACTAAATTATGTTACAAAATCTTGTCCATACTGCAAAAAGAGAAAAAAAACCAAAAACTGCTACTCATTTGTTACCTCAGTTTTATTGTATGTAAAAATAATACACAATATCAATGATATTATTATAAATTTTGCATTATTCTATTAATAGATATCACAATTTTTTTAATTATTTACATTGATCATAAAGAATTAACTACATCAAAAGTTATTGCATGACTCAACCACATCGCCTATCCATGTAAGATAAGTAAGGAGAGGGATCTTCCTCTCTAATGCTTTCTTGAAGTAGAAAAATCACCAATACATTCTCCATTCCAAAGGAGAAAATTCACGCATAAGTCTTCTCAAAATCAACTCTGATGATTGTACTAAAAGAAAAAGAAAATTCAACTCCGATGACCACGAATCTTTATTAAGCACCTCCTGATGTCTACTAATTAATAGGCACAAAAGCTGCGTTAATAGTATACATCACGTTTCTCAATTTATATAGCAACAATAATTTTAGTAACCTATTGTTCAGTCCTGGATAGACCGTATTGCTATACTGTAAGGTATGTGCTCAGAGATAATGTATATCAAGTGTATACTAGGCTTACAGCCGAGGTCCCAATCACTGCGCACAAGCAATAGGCTTATAGCCAAGGGGTGGGTGTGTGCACACTGTGGGCAGAAGTAATAAATGAGTTCTGAGTGTGTACCTGGGGTCCTTAGGCTCTTATTTATAGGATTACCTTCCTAGGCTTGTGCCTTTTGAGATCCCCAATCGTAGTAGGATTCAACCCTCCTTCTGTTGGGATGTGATCCTTATCTTATATCCTTTGGCTGTTTGGAGTTGTTGAGATGTTGCTGATTCCATATCTCACCAGATATTCTAGTAGGTAGTTGGGATATGATATTCGTATCCATAACAGTTGCCCCCTAGCTCGGTATTCCGGGGTCCGGGATGTCGAGGTTCCATTATGTTATCACGGATTCAGTTTATCCACGTTCATTGTTCTTGGGTTTGGACTTCCGAGTTTTTCGACGTCAGCATTCTGACTCAGTTGTTTTGTCGAGCTTATATTCACCACGCCTCTTGACCTTTTATGGTGTTTGCGTTTGAAGTCGGATGTAAGCATGTCAGATATTTTCCTGAACTTATTGTGAACTTTTGACTACCATTGACCCGAGCTTTGTTTTCCTAGTGCTGGATCGAGTTGACGTTCTAAGTCATGTTGCGACCTTCAGCTACGCCCTACTTTTCCTGACCTTTGAAGTCTAGGCGTTGTTTGAACACGGAAATCGAAACTTGGCCTTATCATTTATCCTGTCCTTCCGTGTCACGTTTGCTGTGACGGTTAAGGCGATCCACGTGTTTCGCGCTCGTTGGCAGTTCGTGCATCGTGCAGGGCGTTCTGCTTTACTTTTATGCAGGTTATGATGAAGTGCATTTAATGCATTCAGGGTGAAATCCCTTTTTGCCCTCCATCACTTAACCGTTTGGAAAAACTCTTCGCCTTCGCGCCTCCAGCAATTCGTCGTCCTTTAAATACCAGCTTTCGAATGGGTTCAAAACTTTTACATTCGTCTGGTTTCGCAGTGAGCTTTTGATGTTAATCGTTTTCCAGTTTTGGTTCCGTGTTTTATAAACTCTCTTGGAGCTATCCTCACTTCCAGTGAAGGTTTTCACGCATTGAGTCTAGTTCCCATCATCCTTGCTTCTAAGTTCAGGTACCTTCCTATTCTCTTTGCTTTTACGAATCTCTTTTTGGTTGGGTTAGGTAGCATTGAGTAGTTACCTCTGTTTATGCTTGAAGGTGAGGTATACCTTTTCTTCTTCGAAGTGTTGAGGGTTCCTTTCCTGTTCTTGGGGGTTCGTAATGAGTGCCCCTAGTTCTCCCTCTGGTCCGGAATCCAGTCTACGTGGCCAGGAGAGGGAAGAGGAAGAGGTGGTGAGTCAGTTGCCTCGCTCTGTTCAGTACTGGTTTTTTGGTAGGGAATACACCGAGGAGGAGAAGCGTCAACAGCTTCTCCGTGGTCCCCGTGGAGGCCGCCATAGTTCTCGTGGAGGCCGAGGTAGGAGGGGAGTGGGTCGGTCAAGAGGGGGTCATCAATCCCGACTTAACCTTGGTACGAGTAGTCCTCCTTTAGTGAGTCCTTCAGCTCCCAGATTGAGCTCCTCTCCTGAACCAGTACCGCTGTCGTATATACTGCCATCCTCTAGGGTGGTCTCGGGTACGAGGTCCGTTTTGGATCGGATTCCTCCTCTTGACTTGAGCGCTAGCTCATCCAGCCTCTCTTCGTTTGAGATTGGAATTCCTAAGTCAGTCACCCCTTCTTCCCTAAAGGACTCTGCAACAAGTCGGGTTTCATTTATCGATCTTGTCAGTAGTTCGGATAGCTCCGTTCCTCCCTCTTGGAGTTCGTCTTCGCCTCGTTCCGAGGCTGGTAGTCCCCGGTCGGAATCGGTTGGCATGTGTACTGATCTTTGTCCTTCATATTCCAAGAATATCGTCATGGATGGTTCGGACGCTCAAGATTGGGTCCTTCTTGAAGTTCTCCAAAGACGATCCACAATGTCTTCTTCCGAGGTGGCCCAACTCCCTGTGGGAAATCCCAACGGGGTTGATCTTCTTCCGCCTGGCGACTTTCCTGTATGTTCAGGTCCTATATTAGATGAGCCTCATTTCTTCTACTTTTACCGAGATCTTGTTACCAAACTAGGTATCCGGCTTCCTTTTACCGACTTTCAAATGTCAGTTCTTCGGCGTCTTAGGGTTGCACCCTCACAACTCCATCCAAATTCATGGGCTTTCGTACGGGGTTTTGAGCAGGTGTGTGCATACTTGTGCCTCCCCTGCACCGTTGCTCTTTTCCTCTTCTTCTTTGATGTATATACCTTATGTACTGGCGCCGAGTCCAAGGCCAAGAAGGGATGGGTTACCCTACGAGGTAGCCCTGGCAAAGGGATTTTTATTCCTTACTCCCAATCTTTTAAGGGTTTCAAGGACGCCTATTTTAAGGTGGTATCCCGTTCTGAGTCTCTTCCCTGGTTTGCCGAGGAGTGGCTCGACGATGGCGGAATTTTATCTCGGTTTGAACTATACTGGACACCGAGACATTATCAAAGGCGTCCAAAGGACTACGGCACTCCCTTAACTGCCCTTTCCAGCTCGGAACGTCTAGCGGTCCGAGTTCTTATTGAATATACCGACGAGTTCAGAGTTTTTGACTTAAGTCGGGTTGTAGATAAGTTTGGGGAGGATGCCATTTTTGAGCTCGGTATGTAGCTCATTTTATTTTTTATCTTTTGTTGTAGTTCATCTTACCTTTCAAATTGATAATCTGCATTTTGACTTTTCTTCTTTCCTTTGCAGTCAGCATGACCTCTACCGAATACAAAAAGTTTTTGCCTAAGAAAACTGGAAAGGGAAAGTCAAAAGAGTCGGCCGCTCTAGAGTCTGGAGTTCCGAAGAAGAGGCGGATAGATTCCATACTCGGCGGCAGCTCGGTCGACGCCGGGGTGACCATGGTTGATGCTTCGACTCCTGTTTCGTCGCCGCTCTCAGTTCCCCCCTCTGCTCTCCCAAGGAATTTGGTCAGCCTCGAGCCTGGGGAATTATGGAGAACGGGGGTTTCAGACCGCCTTAGGGCCGTACTCAAGCCTCCTTCCGGGCTCATTGGGAGTTCGGGCTTGACCACCACTGTGAGGGCCATGTTAGCGCGAATGGAAGAAGATTCTTTGAAAACGATCTCACTGCTCCAGACCTTTTAGGATCTTAATCAGAGCCTCGATTTGTCTAATGCTTCTAACTCATCTCTTTCCGTCAGGGTAGAGGAGCTGAGCAAATCTAAGTCGACCTTGGAGGGCAGAATTCAAGAGCTGTCCTTGGCCCTGGATAAGGCTTCGAAAGACTTAGAGGTGGTTACCACCGAGACCAATGACTTGCGTGCCGAGAAGGAGTCCTTCTCGGGGTCTATGACGGAGAAGGATGCTCGCCTTGCTGACTTGCAGGCCGATTTTGAAGAGGCCAAAGTTGTGGTTGCAAGAGCCGCTATTCAAGCCTTCGACAACGCTATTGCTCAGGCTCAAATTCTGAACCCTGGCATGGTGGTGGATGGCATGGACGTATCCTACGAGGTGAAGGACAACATTATAGTCCCTGGAACCCCAGATGCCGAGTCCGCTGATGAAGGAGAAGTCGGAACCGAATTTCGCGCCACTTCACCTCCTGCAGAAGAATGAAGGGGTTGGAATGCCGACCTTATTGTGTTGTTTTGATTACGGAGCCTTTGAGCTCCTTTTTTATTTTGTCAGAACATGGTTGCCGCTTTAGTCCGGCTTTTTAAATTGTATGTCGCAAATTTCATTTTGCCGAGATCGTTGCTTCTTTTTTATTCACGCTTGAAGTGCTTATTTCGATCTCGTCACAATCGACTTATATTTTGTCGAGGTTTTTCATTAGCCGATTATAGGGTTACTTTTTGTTCGTCAACAAAACTTTATTCCCTTTCGGTCAGGAAGCTCCTGAAGCTTCAATTTCCTAAGCAGAAGTCAATATGTATATACGACAGAAATTAATTAACTGCTTTACTTGCATTTCAATGAAATCTTTTGTACAAGGGCTGAGCTTAAGAGCTCATTTTATTTTCCTGAAAATAAATCTATCTACCGACTGAGCTTAATAACTCGTCTTATTGGTGTAGAAATAACTCTAACTATCAATCGAGCCTGACAGCTCGTTTTCTACTTCGAGCATCGGGCCTAGACCCTAGCTGTAGTAGATCTTCAACTTGTCCGCGTTCCAAGTCCTTTTTACTGGTTTTTTGGAGATAGTTTCCAAGGTGTAGGCTCCCTTTCCTAGATCATTCTTGATCCTATAGGGGCCTTCCCAGTTTGCGGCAAGCTTTCCATCTTTCGCATTCTTGTTGCCTATGTCGGCTCTACGCAGTACCAAGTCGCCACCCTGAAACGACCGAGGTCTGACCTTTTTGTTGAACCTGGCCGTTATCAAACGCTTGGCCATCATGTTTTTGTATATGGCGTTCTCCCTGCACTCGTCCAGCAGGTCGAGTTCTACAAGGAGTGCTTCCTTGTTTTGGCTTTCGGTTCCTTGCAGCCTCTGGTTCGTCCTCCAGGAAGGCTCGCCGATTTCCACCGGGATCATGGCCTCGCACCCATATGTTAGCTTGAAGGGAGTTTCTCCCGTAGCAGACTGAACACTCGTCCTGTAACCCCAGAGGACGAGGTGTAGCTGCTGAACCCAATTGCCTTTGGCCTGAAAAAGCCTTTTCTTCAGCCCATTGATGATCACCTTGTTGGCAGACTCAGCCTGTCCATTAGTTTGAGGGTGTTCGACTGATGCAAACCGGTGTGTGATTTTGAGGTCGGTCATCAACTCTTGGAACTTTTTGTCAGCAAACTGCGTTCCGTTGTCTGTTATTATCTCGGCAGGAAGCCCAAATCAGCTTATTAGGTTTCTCTGAAAAAATCTTCGTATCCTTGCCGAGGTAATGGTGGTGAGGGGTTCGGCCTCGATCCACTTGGTGAAGTAATCGACAGCTACTATCAGCCACTTGAGTTGACCCTCCGCTGCAGTGAAGGGTCCTAGTAGATCCATCCCCCATTTGAAGAACGGCCACGGAGCCGTGATACTTTGCAGCTCTTCTGGGGGAGCACGGAGGATCAGCGCGTGCTTCTGACATTGTTCGCACTTTTTGACGTGCTCCTTCGCGTCTGCCTCCATAGTTGGCCAATAGTATCCTGCCCTCAATGCCTTTCTGGCCAGGGCTTTTCCTCCTATGTGATGCCCGTTTATGCCCTCATGAATCTCGGCCAGCACGTATTCGACCTCGCTTCTGCCTAGGCACTTTAGCATGGGCGTGTAAAAACCCTTCTTGTAGAGTTGCCCTTCTATTATGGTGAAGCAGGCCGCATTCCTCACGAGTTTTCTGGCCTCTTGCGTTTCGTCTGGCTGGATTCCTTTTTCCAGGTAGGCCACTATGGGTCCTCTCCAATCCTCAGTCTCGGTAATCACCATCACACACGTCGGCTCCAAAATGCTCTGCTGTATCACGGTGCGATGAGTTCCTGGGACCTTTGAGCTGGAAAGTTTGGATAAGATGTCGGCCCGATTGTTTTCGTTCCGAGGTATGTATTGAATTATCACCTCGTCAAAATCGGCTAGCAGTTCCCTGACCTGGTGGAGATACTTCATCATGAGAGGACCCTTGGCTTGATATTTTCCCTCAACTTGTGAGGTAATCAGCTTTGAATCACTCATTATTTTGATTTTTCTGGCTCCATGCTCTCTTGCTTGTATGATTCCGGCAATAAATGCCTCGTATTCAGCCTGGTTATTAGAAGTCGGGAAGGCCAGGTGAAGTGAATGCTCGATGGACACTCCTTCCGGGGTCTCAATGATTACCCCGGCTCCGCTTCCTTTGGAGTTGGACGACCCATCCACGTGTATTGTCCAGAAATCATCATTTCCTTTTTCCTTTTCATTGGATGGGGTTAGCTCCAGGATGAAGTCGGCCAGAAAGTAAGGTCGGAGCCTCCTCGCCGTGGTAAGTAGTGCGAATGCGACTTTCTCGAGCTTCTGGTAACGAAGCTCGGGCCCTTGCAAGGCCCGACCCACAAAGTAGATCGGCTGTTGTGATTTGTCATTTTCTCGTACCAAGGCGGCATTGACGGCCTCTTCCCCGACTGATAAGTATAAAATCAGCGTTTCCCCAGGTTCTGGTTTGGTCAGTACGGGAGGAGTGGCCAGACAATATATTTTTGAATGTGTTCTTGCATTTTTCTCCCCATCCGAATTCGGCTTCCCTAAGAAGGCAAAGCCGATTTGGGCAAGAATCTGGTTAGAGCCGCAAGGCGTCCAGTGAGCTGTTGAATTTCTTTTTTCACTTTCGGGATGCTTCATTTCGAAGCACGGCCACACTTGTCGGGGTTCACTTCTATTCCCCGGTTGGTAAGCATGAAGCCCAGGAACTTTCCAGCTGGTACCCCAAAAGCGCATTTCGCCGGGTTCAGCCTGATCCTGTGGTTTGTCAGCTGCTCAAG